TCGTTCCCCGAGTTTCCCTCCTCCCCCCCCCCCCGTGCACGCCTTGTGTCGAGGGCCGGCTCCGCCGTGCCCCTCACTCCTCCTCGTTTCCCCCTACCACCGCACCACTGCAGACTCTGCACATGGACGTCTGGGGCCCAGCCCCGGTCCATGGGCCGCGTCGCGAGCGCTTCTTCCTAGTGCTTGTCGACGACTTCACGCGCTACACCACCGTCTTTCCCCTGGAGCGGAAGGCCGACGTGCCTGACGTTCTCATCCCCTGGCTTGTCTCTGCTCGTGTCCACCGCGGTCTCCCTGCCTTGCGCCTCCACTCCGACAGGGGTGGCGAGTTTGCCTCAGGTGTCCTTGGTCGCTTCTGTCGTGCGGAGGGCATCACCCAGACGTTTACCCTGCCGGACTCCCCGCAGCAGAATGGGGTCGCTGAGCGACGCATCGGTTTGGTCATGGAGGTGGCTCGCACCTCCATGATCCACGCCGGTGCACCCCATTTTCTGTGGCCGTTCGCCGTGTGCTACGCCGCTCACCAGCTTAACCTATGGCCGCACCCCCAGCGGCCGCCGGTTTCGCCGACCCTTCTGTGGACCGGGTCCCCTGGTGACGCGTCTGCGTTCCACGTCTGGGGCTGCCTGGCTCACGTTCGTGCCTCTGGCACGGACAAGCTCACTGCCCGCACCCTCCCCTGCGTCTTCCTCGGTTTCCCCCTTGACGCGTCCGACTGGCACTTCTACCACCCGCCGTCTCACCGCTTCTTTCACTCTCGCGACGTCACCTTTGACGAGTCCGTCTCCTTCTACCGCCGCTTCCCCCACCGTGGTCCCCCGGTTACTCCCCCCCTGTTCCTGGTCCCTCCTTCCCCGGTGGTCCCTGCCCCTCCCCCCCCCCCGCCCCCCCGTCCGGCCCCCTCTGGTGTGTCTCACGTCACCCCCCTCCCGTCGGTCGTCCCGGTCGCCGAGTCTTCTGACTCTGGTAGTCCTCCGGCGCAGTCCTCGCCGTCTGTCCCTCCCCCGATGTCTCCTCCTCAACCGCCTCCGCAGCCGCCGTCGCCGCAGCTGCTGCAGCCGTCGTCTCCACCGCCGCCGCCGTTGCAGCCGTCGTCTCCGCCGCCACCGCTGTCGCGGCCGTCGCTGCAGCCGCCGCCGCCGCCGCCGCAGTCGTCGCTGCCGCTGTTTGTGGACTCTGGGGGTGCTGGCGTTGAGGTGGGTACTAGTCCCGGGGCTCCTGTCGTGGCTTGTCCCGGCGGGCCTGGGGGTGGTACCGGTGCTGGCGGGGTTTTGTGCTCTGGGGGTGTCCCTTCTGGGGGTGCCGGTGCGGAGGGTTCGGGAGGTAGCCGTCGCGCAGCTTGTGGCCCTAGCGTTGGTGTTGTGTCGCCGCAGCAGCAGTCCCCGCCGGTGTCCGCCCTCCGTCTGCTCGGCCTTCCGTCCCCTGACCCTGCGCCTGTTCCTCACCTGCCGTCTCCTCCTCTTCCCGTCTACAGCCCCGTGTTCCCTCCGCCGGACTCGTCCCCGGCTCGTTTTCCCCCTCGTTCCCCACCAGTGTCCCCTCCTCTGTCTCCTGACCCGACGCCGCCCTCTCACGTCTGGTCTCGCCGCCCCTCCCGTGCTCGTCCTGTCTCCCCCGTCCCGCGCTCTCACCCTATGTTGCTCCGGTCCCACGTGTCTCGTCCTCCCCTCCTCCCGTCTCCTCCTCCGTCCTCTCTTGTCGTTGCGTCTCCTCCTCTGTCTGACTACTTTCGTGCCGCTCGTCCTCTTGTTCCTCGGGTCCTTGCCTCTCTGGTTACAGACCCGTCTGTTCCAGTGTCGAGTCTTGACGCCCTTGTCGCTGCGGTCGCTGACTTCGCCTCTACCCGCCGCCTTGACTACGCTACCGCTCTGGTCACCGACCCTGCCTGTCCTCTGTCTGTCGGGGGTGCTCCTGCCCTCGGCATTGACGTCCTGGAGGACCGCCAGTTTGAGCTTGCTTTCCTCTCCGAGGCTGCTCCCCATCTCTGTTCCATGCTGCTAGTCCCTGAGGGTGACCCAGACGCTTTCGACATCCCGACCCCTCGTACTTACGCTGAGGCGGTTTCGGGACCCTGGGCCTCTCAGTGGATAGCTGCCATGGAACAGGAGATGGCATCTTGGAGATCCACCGGCACCTTCGTCGACGCAGTTCCCCCACCTGGGGTGAACGTGGTCGATGGCCGTTGGCTCTTCAAGGTGAAGCGCCCTCCTGGAGAGCCGCCTGTGTTCAAGGCGCGCTACGTGGCTAGAGGCTTCAGTCAGCGCGAGGGGGTGGACTTCTTTCTGACTTTCGCTCCTACGCCGAAGATGACTACTCTTCGGGTTCTGTTACACGTAGCGGCTCAGCGTGATTACGAGCTTCACTCCCTCGACTTCTCCACTGCCTTCCTTCAGGGCAGCCTTCACGAGCAGGTCTACCTGCGTCGTCCTCAGGGCTTTACTGGCACTTTCCCCCCTGGGACCCAGTGGCTTCTGCGGCGTCCAATCTACGGCCTGCGCCAGGCGCCTCGTGAGTGGCACGACACGCTGCGTGCTACCCTTGCTGACCTGCAGTTCTTTCCGTCCTCTGCAAACCCCTCGCTCTTCGTTCGTGCTGGCCCGACTCCGTTCTACATCCTTGTCTACGTAGACGACCTGGTCTTTGCCACAGCTGACAGGGACGCACTGGCCTCCGTGAAGGCAGAGCTGCTGAAGAGACACACCTGCACTGACCTTGGAGAGCTGCGCCGTTACCTTGGCTTGCAGATCTCCAGGGACAGAGCCGCGCGCACCATCACCCTGACTCAGTCACACTTGGTGCGCCAGGTCCTTCAGAGGTTCGGCCTTCAGTTCTCCTCCGCACAGCCCACCCCTCTTCCTCTGGACCACAGACTCTCCGCTCCAGTTCCTGAGGAGTCGGTAGATCCCAGTGGTCCTTACGCTGAGCTAGTGGGTTGCCTCATGTACCTGATGACTTGCACTCGCCCAGATCTCGCATACCCTCTCAGCATCCTGGCTCGTTTCGTGGCCACAGGCAGACACCGACCTCAGCACTGGTCTGCCGCTAAGAGGGTTTTGCGTTATCTTGCAAGTACATCGGGCATGGGGTTAGTGCTAGGCGGACGCAGGCCAGTGGTCCTTACTGGACACACAGACGCTTCTTGGGCAGACGACGCCGAGACGCTCAGGTCTTCCCAGGGCTACTGCTTTAGCCTTGGCTCAGGTGCTGTCTCGTGGAGAGCTACCCGCTCCTCGTCTTTTGCCCAGTCCAGCTGTGAGGCCGAGATCTACGCCGGTGCCATGGCGGCACAGGAGCTCCGCTGGCTGACCTTCTTGCTCACTGACTTAGGTGAGCGGCCTAGCTCTGCCCCGGTCTTGTACGCTGACAACAGGGCCATGATCCTCCTGTGTCAGGAGCCTCGACTCGAGGGTAGAGCGAAGCACATCCAGCTGCGGTACTTCCTCCTGCGCGAGCTCCAGCAGCGTCGCCAGGCTCGCGTAGTACACTTGGCCTCCGGTGCCAACACAGCTGATATCTTTACGAAGGCGCTTGCGTCTAAAGATCATCAGCGGCACTGTGTACAGCTTGGTCTGGTTCCTGTAGTCCCTCACTTACTCGGGCCTTGACTTTGTACTGTCCTATATATATGTGTACACTCAGACTGGACTTGTGTCCTCTCACAGCGGTTGGACTAGTAGTGCCGCCCTGTACTTGTTCTTGTCTTGTCTGTACTCCTTCTGACTGGTCTTTTAGACCCTTGCCTCAGAGGCTGGACTAGTAGTGCCGCCCTGAGCTGCTTGTTTAGGACATTCCCCTATGCAGTCCAGGGGGTGTGTCAAACATGTTTATTGATCATGTTTGTATAGGCTGTATAGGGTAACCTCCTAGAGGGTACAACATTTAGGTATATGTGCATGTACTCTCTAACTCTATCATTATTCAATTCTAGTTTTGAGAAAACTCTCATGGTTCCACAGAATCCAGATCTCGGATAATTCCATTGGGTGAAACTTCCCCATTAAGACACCTTGAGGGGATTGCATCTGCGGAGGATTTGAGACACACGAAGTTAATATTGCACTATTCCATCACATATAGCACTAGAGACTTCCACATACAGCTGGATCATGGGTACATCCGGAAAGCAATTAGCGTACATTTGGCTAGCTTACAAATCGTGGCTTATTTGCCTGGAGGGACGTGGAGTTTGATTTTGAACAAAACAGAATTGTGTAGACATAAATTAGAAACATAGATTCGACTGGCTTAAAGAGTATGGTATGGGTGATGGATAGTGTAAGGAATTACGATTCCTTACTAGGGCTGGCCACAGCGAGTACACGCGAACCTCTCGGGTCCGCAGGCTCGGCCCTCAAGTCACGCGCCAAACCAGCCGCCGTCGACCTTTTCGGGCCCAACCTGATCCCGAGTCTCCCCGAACCCATTTTGACCTCGTCACCCTCGGAACTGTCGAGCCCTTGACTGGTCCAACCCTCAACATTCAACCCTGATCAACTCGTACTATATAAGCCCTAGGCCTCATTTCTATCGTAATTCTGTAATCGCTTTCCCCTATAGTATTCTGCGCTATACGCTAAGTTATATTTCATAACAGATAGCACTTGTTGACATAGAACATCGAGTTTAGATTGGTTTCTGTATTTGCAGATAAAGTGTATTCTTTTACAAGTTCTCTGAGCTTTCCTCGTCAGAGTTTGATTGACTCTTGGCGATTGGCAAAGTTGGAAATTTTGTTTCCACCGTCGATCCATCACCAGGAATTGCGCGCTTCTCCATCCTGCCGTCCTTCCAACCTTCTCTTGGAGCAATAATGGTGTTGCGATACTTTACCTGATCGCAAGGCTTCACCATGAGAGGAGGTTGCGACACCGTAAGTTCGCGAGTCGCGACGGAAGTGCTCGTTCGGGAGGGAGACGATTTTCCTTGGGATTGCCTTCGGAAGTGTCTCACTGCGAATGTGCATCGCGTTTCTGATGGTAATGGCACTTACATGGTCAGCCACGCTGAATGCTCGTAACTTCGAGACTCGCCTCGCGAACACATCAGGAAGTTTTGCCCCTCCATCTGCAGAATGCAGAATAGAATTGCCTGAGCTTCCTCTCAAGTGAGAGTTTGCTACTGTGATGAGCTCATGCCTTCCCTTCTGCCAGCGAGAGGACTAACCAATGTTGCCTTATCACGGGAGCCTCCTGCGACGCGTAACTATTAAAACCGACAACGACTAATATTGGAAGTCCAAGGACATTTTATCTTAACTTAAGAAGTTTGGACCTAGACATTTCATCATCAAGATGCAAGGAATCTGGTCCATTCTCGGTATAGGCGCGACTGAACGACCTGTGGATAAGGTCGTGCCGGATGAATGGCACTACAAGTTTCACTTCAGGTTAGATGGTGCTTCCCTGATACGCCTGACACTTTTTCTAACACCTTGCTGATCAGTTGGTCATTCCTTACAAAGAATCAGAAGTCGTTTATTACAATCTGTCATGGACCACGGATTACGTCATCATGAGCGTCCGTCGAATGCGTTCAGATTTAATCATTCCAGTATATAAACGTTTTGACAGTGGACGAAGACGCGTTCGGTATTCATCCCCTGGGGGCTCCGCTGGTAAACGAAGTAACATTCTCCACCGTTCTTTCTCTGCTTTCCGCTGACACGTCCGTGATCACCACCTATTGTGACCATCAGGGACGATGACGAGAACGAAGCGGAGTTAAAGCGTCTGCTGTGGGTGTACCTTGCAAGGAAAGAGCAGGTCAGCGTGTTATTTCGATCCTGTTTTTCATTTTTTTTGGCTAAGCTATTTAAACTGCGGGTTTTAAAACATATAAAACAGGAATCGTTTTCTCAACCTAAGCTAGCATCCTGACATTCTTTGCGGCATCTGTGACGTCAAGCCCGATTTCATGCGAATTTATGAATATTGGTGTCGCTTTTCCTGCAATGGCTCCGTACAGGGCCCAACACGTTCTGCAGCAAAGAAACTTATCGAATTGTTCGTGGAAACTTATGGCGAGTGGACCCCTCCAAGCTCTTCGCCGCCAGAAGAGCCAGATGAAGATAACGGAGATAAGGACGACGTTCCATCCCGCGAGGCTCATCCCTTGGAAATGATCCGATGCGTTGTCAAAGAGCTGGTGTGGCTCGCTGATCTCGCCCAGGGTAAGTCTTGATGCGCTTAGATCTTGTTATTCTCACGTGCTAATTTTCCTGTGTGCTTTTCAGGGCCTCTTTGCGGCAATGTGACTGATTTAGTCAGTTGGACGACACTCACTAAGTTATTGACGTTCAGGCTCTTGTGGCTGAGATCATATTATTTTGTGCCTTTTTAACCTTCCCAATCAACATAACCTCCCAGCTGCAACAGCCAGGCGTAAGGATGAGAGCCAAAAAGAAGGTTCTGGTGTTGTTGGAAGCAGGCCCGAGATTGAAGATGAAGGTTCGGAAGACGACATCAATCTGTTTGTTCCGAAGCGGGATCGAGAGCATGCCATCAATGTCCTTCAGGCTGCAGCTATACTCACTGAAAGTGCTGAGAACCGCAAACAGTTTGTCTTCTTTCGTGGAGTCCTCACTTCCCTGGATGTGCTCAAAGGTGAGTTCAATAGTGGCTTCTCTTTGCTCTACATACATAAACTAGTACAAGACTATGCATCTTTTTCCTCTGATTACACCCCTCGTTTCTATTTGTAACAATTTGTTTTGTGCCTTTCGCGTTTTGCAGGCGTCACCATGGATATTAATGCCCACAGTGCAGCATCAACAAAGGCGCGAGGCTGCAGATCATCTTTTGAGTCAGAGCCAGCCCCAGTGCCTGAACATGGACGCCTCAAAGCCAGTGCTCCGTACGCAGACGCTGCAGCTGATGGTGATGGAAACAGCAATGGAGCCGACGGAAGCCAGGCAGCTGCAGCACCCAAGTCACAGGCGCTGCTTTTCCTGCTATCCGCCTCGCAACTCATCCTGGAAGTGGTCATTAATTTTCTAGAGCCTGCAATCCAACGCAAGGGATATCTTGTTCCGAAGGTGGTTTTGAGGACGGGAGGAAGCAGGAGGTCTGAGAAACTGAAGAAAGACGAACTAGAAGACAAAGGCTCGGGCAGTGGGCGTGATAGCCCTAACGCAGGGTTGTCAAAGAGGGAAGTCGCTGGCAAGAAGAAGCCAGAGTTGGCATTGGGGACGGAAGTTTTTGAGGCGTTTTCTGTGACTCAAGATATGCTGACGCCAAGAGGAAAAGTGGTGAACGAGGAAAAGCGGATGGCAGAATTCAGCAAGATTCTAACGGGCGTGCAAGACAAGTGTCTTACTGTGCTCCTGGGTGAGTCCTTGTTCCGAATTGCATCCACTCCAGTTTCTAGGATTCTAGTGGTGTCCATCAGACTTGAAAGTCTAACCCATTTCACATTCCTCCGTCCTCCTGCATCCTCCACTTATTTTCGCCCGGCCATTTTCTCCTACTCCCCCCTGCTCCCTTTCTCTAGGTTTCATCCCGTCTGTCCGCTGCATTCAGCAGACAGAGGCATCACTGTCAGACCAAGCGCAGGATGTACTGCTGCAGGGAGTGGAGGTGGTATGGGCGGTGGTCACTGCCCTCGATCAGTCTCACTATGTCTTCATCGCCAATGAAGGGCTGCAAGTGTCTCTTGGGTTGCTTACCTGGCCTTCATGGCTCCTGCCCTCGACACCGTGAGTCCATGACTGCTTCTGTGGCGCTGTGAGATGTTTTATGCCACTATGGACTATGGCCATGCACTTTGTTAGTTTTCACTAGTCGAATTCTCTGGGCTTGGAGTGAAGTGCGATGGCACAGTACAAATGAAATGTTGAAATATCTTTCCTTTCGTGGCTAACGACAGTTATTTTAATGGGCAGGTGCACGGACCGCACCACACTTGCGAGCACATTGCTGAAGGAGTATAGCCTGCAGTTCTTGGCCGTTTCCATCATCAAAGAATCTGTGTAAGTCAGCATGTGCAGGGATGCTTCTTCCCCGATCTCTTTTCATTAGGTCGCTGGTCTGCCATGTGCTTGCATCTGTTCTGTAACTATTCCATGCTCTCTGCTGCTATCGCCTGAAACTCGCAGACGATGTCATCATCTGCCAGCACTGCTTCACACATCCCTCTCATTCACTCTTCCTCTCTTCCTCAGCTTTGGCAGTGTCTCAGCAGCCCGCGCCCTGCACTCTCTCAATGCCGTGCCGCACATCGCTCAGTTCATTCGCTGGACATCCTTGGTCTTCACAAGGCCATCTTCCGTAGACGCTTCCTCTTCCTTCAAGCGCAACCGCTCTGTCGATGCTACATTCCCGTCTCATCCCACTGAGCGGGGTGATCCATTCACAGACATGACTAGCTCCGGCCAGACTGGCATGGGGATGGGCATGGGCATGGGTGCATTCTCTGCAGCCATGGACGAGCACCTGAGCATGGGCGGGCAGCTGGCAGCGTGGAACCTGAGGGCAGCTGCAGCTTGCAGCCTCATCTTGTCGTTTCTCTGGGATGGCAACGAGTGGGTGCTTGCTCCCGTTTTTTTAGAGCCTCAAGGAGTTGGATCCCGGCGTAGAGGAGCAGCAGCAGCGGGCGGCGCACTGGGGGGGGCTGGAAAGATGGATGGAAAGAGGGCGTATGGAGAGGAGATCATGGCTGATGTCATCTCTGTGTTCCTGCATGCCTTCCACCCAGTGGGACTGGGAGGCACTGACTGGCTGGACCATGCAGCAGCAGAGATGTTCCAAACGTCCTCTACTGAGCTTCAGCTCTATGTGATGCGTGTCCTGCGCTTCCTTCTCGGCTCACATGCCAACACACTCAACCACTTCCACACCGCCAACGTCGCCCCTGCTCTCTTCTCCCGCCCTTTCTTCTTCTTCAACTCCATCCTGCTCTCGGAAGCAAATGCAGCTTCTGCTGCTGCAACCCCCACAGCTATTGGGGCTGCTGTTGAAACAGTGGGTGACGGCACTCCTGGACTCCCTCCTTTCTCCCTTCCTCCTCCGTCTCCAGGGTCCATTCCTCGCAATTCCTCTGATCTCAGGACGAAATTCGGATCGCCCAGCATCTCCACCTCGCACAACCCAGCTGCTTGGCTTAACCCTCCCAAACTCTCTACTGCCTCGCCCCAAGTCCATGCATGGACCCCTTCCTCCCTTGCTGCCATGCGGGGCAGCCCTGCGTTTCCCAACTGCGCAAGTTTAGGCACTGGGTCAGGGGAAGGCGGCGTGGACACACCGCGACCTCCAGGCGACGGCAGGGGAGCCATTGAAGAACCGGATGCAGAAGATGAGGAGTACGTTGCTCTTTCAATCGATCGCAATGCTGAGGATCTCAGGAGCAGCATTGTGGCACTCATTGAGCTCTCTGCCTCCCTGGACTGGCTGGAGGACCTCCAGCAGGAGTTCCACGCTGTGCTTCATGCCCTGCGGAGCTGCTACCGGGTGCCGTCTGAATCCCAGCTGCTGGCTCACACCTTGCAGCGCATGCTCCAGGGGGGAGCCCGAATCGTGCCCTCCCTTCTCTCCACCGCGTGCGGTGACCACCTTGGGGATGTCATTGAACGGCAGCAGGCTGCTTACCTTAGCGCGGACGCCGAAGGGTTATTTTTACAGCCCATGCATTCCGCTTCAAGTGTCGCTGACGCAGATGCCGCTGACACTGCTGTTGGGTTTGCTGCTGCCAGTGGAGCCGCAGTACGTAGTATTGACTCCATGTCGTCCCGGTCAGCTCGTCTGGTTCTGGAAGCGGATACACTGAGGGACGAGTGGCAGGAGGCGAGGGAGGTGGTGCTGAAGCTGCTGGAGTCGTACCTGGACTGCTCGCCCTCTCTGCTGGCTCGGGCTGCCACCAGCCCCGAGACGTTCATGCCCCTGCTGTGGCTGCTGCGGGAGAAGACCTTGCGGCCCATGGCTCTTCAGCTCCTCGCCTTGATCATGAATGTAAGTTGGGCGTATGGATGTTACTGTAGCTTCTGAATGCCAGTGTAGCCTATGCATGCAGAGCTTATGAACGTGAGTCCGGCTTGTGATTGTGAGTGTAGCTTATGCATGCATAGTTTTTGAACGCGATCGGGGCTTCTAATTGTCAGAGTAGATTATTAACGCGGTTATGAATGCGGTTGGATGCCCCCTTAACCCCTGCACAGGCCCCTGTGTCGGACCCATCGGACAAGTCAACCCTGTTCAGGCGGTTCTTCGAGGCCATGACTGTGGCACGCAGTGGCAAGAGATCAGGAGGCACATGTGGCGGAGGAGAAGGGCGGGGTGTGGGAAGAGGAGGCGCTGCGGCCGGTGGCGCAGGGCTCAGTGGCGCAGACACAGTGGAGCAGCTGCAGGCGATGCTGGCGGTGGTGCAGGAGGTGGTGAAGGAGGATGAGAGCGCTATGATGCAGCAGCTCTGTGTCGACGTGGACGGCTTTCCTCACCTCATTGGCCTTCTCAGAGTGCAGTATGAGGAGGCTTCTGGCCGCTCTCTTGCCATCATGATTCTGCGCACTCTCACCCTACTGTGTGTGGGCAATGAAGCTGCCAAGGTATGTCATGCAATCGGCCACTGATTTTCAATGTCTTCAGTGCCATTTGTTCGCCTGCTTGGTAATCGACTTGTATTTCTTCGCACCCCTTCTTCCATCGCCTTCTCTCCTCCCACTTCCACCGCCCACCCCCCCTCTCCTTCCTCTTCGCCCCTCGCCATCCCTCTCGTCTCCACAGGCTGTTCTCATCAAGCATGCTGGCCCAGGCTTCCGCTCCCTTGCACTCTTCTTCCCTCTGCACTTTGATGGAGCATGCCCGCCAGTGCTGCTGAGTGCGGTCATGGACATGGCCATGGACTGCCTGGCCGGGGATCAGCCTCAGGGCAGCATCCACTCCCCCAATGCCGTCATCCTCTGGCTCAGGCTGCTGCACAAGGTGCGCCTGGGTCAAGCTGGATCACCTTGTCGCTTTCTCCTTTTTCTGCCTCATCATAATCGAAGTGTCTCTTAATGTTAGCCTCATAGTTGTACGTCTGTCTCATAATCTAAACTTCAGTCTCACCCTCATCATTCCAGTCTCATTACTACTCTCGCGAAACCCTTTTCCTCTCTCCCCGTCCCTGGCTTCCCCTCTGAAGCGCCTCAGAATACGACTCTTTTCCCCCCTCTCCTCTGGTCTCCGCCCTCTGCAGGCCGATCCTCAACAAATAGAATCTGGTCTGCAGTCCTTGCTCGGCCTGCTTGACAGCTCTGCTGGCAACTGCGCTGCTTGCTCCCGTGCTGGCCTCATGTTTCACCTCCTAGAGTGGCTGGGGGAGCTAGAGGGGGAGCACCTGGACGTGGTGGCAGATGCCAGTGACGGCTCTGGCGCAAAGGAGGAGATCAAAGCCGGGGGGACGGATGGGGAGGGTGGGATGGAGACGGGGGATAGCACTGATGGCGGTAGGGATGAGAGGGAAGGGGAAGGGCGAGTAGTGAAGCTGAAATTGGAGAATTTGGAGGCGATACTGGCGCTGCTGTCAAAGCTGATAGCGAAGCTGGGGCAGCACAGCATCAACGGGAAGGAGATTGCTGCGGTGTTCAGGCTGATGAGGAGCACCAGAGATGGTTGCCGCCCCAAGAGGGTGTCTTTGCTGCTCCGCACGCTTGTGGGCGTGCTGAGGCACGATGGACCGGCTTCTTACTTCGAGATGGACGGGTTTGAATCGGTGAGATGAATGAATCCGTTTCCACAGATGATGCCTGTTGCGATTCTGAATCGCTGCATTCTCTCTCGCAGATCTCTCCTCCTTTGATTCATCCTCCACCCCCCCTCCCCCTCCCCCTCTTACATCCTCCACTTCCCCCCCCGCACCCAGCCAAACTAAAAATGCTCCTTTCTTTACCACCTCCTCTCCCTGCCATACTCCAGGGACTTGAGATACCCACTGACTTCCGCTTCCCCTGCACCAAGGGCTATTCCTTTTGCTGCTGGCTGCGCTGTGAATTCCTCCCAAACTACAACGCAGCGAACATCTCCAGCTATGGCGCTGACAACAGCATCAGCAGCGCACGGCGAAGCAGTCTCAGAAAGGATGGGCCGGAGATCAGCTCAGCACCCGCGCAGTCAAGCATGAGATCGATCACACGCAGGGGACATTGGCTGGGCGAGTCTTTGAGTATCAGTGTGCGTGAAGACAGCCCCATGGCGCTCTTCAGCTTCTACACAGACCATGGCAACGGCTGCAGTGCCTTCCTCACCCAGGATTCCCTCCTCCTCCATGTGAGACGCCGCTCCTGCACCTTCGCCTGCATTCTAAATTCCCTATTCCCCCTCATGGTTCTCAAACAGGGTAGCCTAGATTTCTCGACATGCAGAGTACCTTGCATTGTTTTACACAGTTCACTGTGCTGGTCAATAACTGACTGCTGGTTTGCCTGCTCTGCTCGTCTTGCTTCTCGTCTTGCTGCACGTCGTTTTCCTCATCTTTCTCCTCATCCTGCTCCTCTCCTTGCTCCTCTTTTCTTGCTGGCAGGTGGCTGGATCTCGGGACGTGATAGTGGAGGTGCCTCACAGCATGGCCCTGCGCCACTGGCATCACATCGCCATCTCCCACTCCACCGCCTCCTTCTCCTCCTCCAGCATGCTCCAAGTCCACATGGACGGCGTTCTGGTAGGCAAGGCCAAGTGCAGCTACCCTCGCCTGCAGGACCCTCTAATTCGCGCCACCATCGGAGCTTCTGCCCCTCTGCCCCAGTCCGATCCCCGCTCCTCTCGCTTGTTCCGGACGTCGCATCCATTCCAGGGTCAGATTGGCCCCATCTACCTTTTCAGCGACCCTCTCCCTTCTACTCAGCTCTCTTGCATTTACAAGCTAGGCCCTGGCTACAACCACACCTTCCAGCCCACGGATGTAGCGCTCCTGCGCACGCAGGTAGACAGCGAGATTCTCTCTCTCTTTGACGGCCCTGATTCACTCAGCTCTCGCATCGCTCTAAGCTACAACGCACAAGCAAATGTGGATGGTCTGGTTCTCGACACCTCTCCTGCCTGGCTGCTATCCCAGCAACAGGCTGCTAGCAGCGCCGCCACGGCAGCTGCTTCCGCCCGTGCTGCTGTCTCCCCTGTGCGTGTGTTTGACGCAGCACTGCTTCCAGGCGTGCAGCGGTGCCACCGGCAGCGGCTGCAGCAGGTGCTGAGCACAGTGGGCGGCGTGTCAGCGCTCTTCCCTCTCTTCACTCAGCTGGATCTACCGGTTGTGGGAAGTGATAGCAGCATGGGCGAGGGAGGCGTGGCTGAGGGGGATGGGCAGTTGGCAGTGGATATTATCAACCTTCTCACGGAGCTGCTGGCTGGGAGCACGGGGAGTCAGCAGGCGATGCTGTCCGTGGGGGGTTTCTCGGTGATCAACTTCTTGCTGCAGCACGTTTCGCCCAGGCACCTGACAGTTAGTCTCGTGCTCACACTGGAGAACATGGTGGACTCGTTTGCCGAAGAGAAAGGTATGTTTCGGACGCCGCTACAGAATCTCTTGCACGCTTCTCCCTTTTTCCCGTTCATACAAACCTTACCCATGTGCCCTCTACTGACCGATAACTCATGCTCTCATCCTGCCTCCCCTTCCCCCCTCAACTGCTCCCACGTCCACAGATCAAACCCTTCGGGAGCGCATGGTGCGCGGCGTCATCCTCTCTCTCTACATGGACGCCTCTCTCTGGATATATGCGCCTTACACCGTTCAACGGGAGCTCTTCGAATCCCTCCAGCGCCACCTGGAGCGACAGCCCTGGCTCATGCCTTCCGTCTGCTCCCTCCCTCGCCTCCTCGACATCGTGCGTCGAGTCTATTGGGACAAACCCCAAGGCCGGCACGCCGTTGGGGTGAAACCCCTTGTAGAACCCGTCACTCGGCGTGTGCTCGGAATGCGCCCGCGACCTCCACAAGTGGCCAAGCTGCGGCTGCTGGTGCTGAGTCTGGTGCAGTACATTTTGAGAGGTGGGTTCACAGAGGCCGATGTGAAGGCGCTGGTGGTGTATATGGAGGCGAGCAAGGACGCTGGGGCTGTGAAGGACGTGCTGCAGACGATATTTGGGCTCATTGCGCGGCCAAACCTTGTTGGATCGTTTCTGGAGCACTTTTCGGCACTAACTGGGCCACAACTCTTCCTCGGGCTGCTGTCCAGGTAAGGCAATGGGGTCTTCTACTTTACAATTATGTGGGGCTTCATTTCCCCCCTCCCCTGCCCCCTCACTCCCCCCTCGCGCTCTTGCTCGGGAACTGCGCTTTTCCGTGTTGTTCCTCTTTAGACATTATATCATTTCCCCCCTTCGCGGGTTCTGCTTTCCTTACGCTTATCCCCTGTTCCAGGTCGCAGGAGGAGATTCGCCTCCTGGCCCTGTGTCTCATACTCACCCTTATGAACGAAACCAAGAAGCAGGTCCAGGCCAAGCTCCCAGCAGCTAGAACTGGCACCAGAGGGGGATCCAACAGAGGAGGCTCGGGCCGAACTGCAGGTTCGGGTAGGAGGGGCTGGCTGGGGATGCAGGAGGAGGAGGAGGGGGATGAGGACGAGCTCTGGGAGATGGAGCAGGAGGAGAAGGTTTTTTTCGACCTGGCGTGCAAGCAGCTAATGCCGTACGGCCTCTCTCCTGGGATTGAGGCTCTGCTGTTCGATTTGCTGCTTGGAGCATCACCCACGGATCAGCGGTCAGTTCGCACGCACACTCACGAGGCCATGGCTCACAAGAAGTTTCCCTCCAAGGCCTCTCGTGCCATTCCCCCTGGCATACCTATGCCGTCGGCCAGACAATCCACACCGGGAAATGCAGGACCAGAAGTAGCAGCACGGGCAACAGGAGGAGTAGCAGCAGCACCGGAAACAGGAGCAGCAGCAGTAGGGGGAGCAGCAGCAGTAGGGGGAGCAGCAGCAGTAGGGGGAGCAGCAGCAGTAGGGGGAGCAGCAGCAGTAGGGGGAGCAGCAGCAGTAGGGGGAGCAGCAGCGGCCTTTGGCATGCCTCGCAGTGCCTCTGCTCCGCAGGCATCCGAGCCTGGACCAGGAAGTGCAGCTGAAAGCAGTGCTGCGCGAACCAGGGCTGATAGAGAAGGCGAAGTGGGCAGGGTCAGAGAGGTGGTGGCAGATCCAGGGCAGGTTGCAGCAGCTCCACCTCCAGCCATGTCCACCTCCTTTGGTCACTTCACGTCTGGAGGCAAGTCCTCCGCCTGGAGCATGCTCCCCCGCAGCGGCACAGTAGAAGCAGGCAGCTCACGCAAGCCAATAGTGAAACCCGAGATGCTGAGGCTGCTGCTGCCCCTCATGGTTGGACAGCTGAGGCGTGCGGCCAGCTCGCCTGCAGCAGCCAGCCGAGGGGATGTTGGCGGAAGCAGCTCAGGCAGCAGGCCTGGCAGCAGCAGTGGTGCTGCTGCTGCCGCTGGTAGTCCTGCAAGGAGGAGCGGTGGGGGAAAGGAGCGAGGGGATGGTAGCCTGTCGGGGCGGGGAGTGAAGGTGGTGGAGGACGCGCTGAAAAGGCTGGGAGATATCATCTCGAGCAGCAAGGCCAACAGAACAAAGCTGCTAGAGGTAAGATCTGCTCCTATCTCTTAGAGGTTCTTTTCTGAAGGTGTGTAAGCTTCTCAGTAGTCAATTGCGACTATCCCAAGCTGCTAGAGGTAGTCGATTGCTGATAGCGGTATCCGAGAGCACTTCCTTTGATGCCCACAGTTGTTGTTCCCATTGCTTCCCATTTGACCTCATTACATCCCCTCCACAGTCTTCCCTGGTTCAATCTGCCTGAACGTTCGTATATAGGTAAGAAATATACCCTTATGCTCTCCTAATGCTTTAACACCATGCCCCTTCCATATCGACACCCTGCTTGTGCCCTTGCAGCAACGGGGCTGGCAGCAGTGGCTGCTGGATATTGTGGTTACCGGCTTGGATGTTACAGGCGCGAGGGATTGCAAGTCACATGCCATGCATGCAGACAAGGGCACTGACAAGGCAGGGGCAGCAGAGGAAGGAAAGGACGCAGGGCAGGGTGAGAAAGGGCAGGCAAAAGGAGACAGGGTTGCAGGGGAGGAGGGACAGCTGCCACCACCACTGCTGGCAGGGGGAGGGTTGGAACTGGTGTGGGTGCATGTACGGCGCATTTTTCTGGCTGCTCACACGTTTGCAGTGCAGAAGGTGCAAGGCGGCTGGAGGCATGTAGCGGAAACAATCAACGTGTTGCGGATCTATGGCGAAAGGGTGAGGCTTTGATGGAATAGATGACCATGAAAGGCACAGAGTGGTGCTGGCTCCTTCTCTCCACCCACCCAAACCCTGCACCTTGTCACGCTCACCCTGAATCTATCTTGTTGAGAACCAAGTCAGGGTAACAGTTGGTGTAGGAAGCGGTAAAGCATGGTGCAGATCACACAATTTCGTTCCTCCTCCTTCCCCAATTGTCCTCCCTCTCAGGGCAAGCTGCCATATGCGAGTCTGCTGCGTGTGCTGCTGGGCGAGCTGCTGGGCGTGGTGCCGCTGCTGTGCTCCACGCGCGACCGACTGCTGGAGCAGCCGGTGCATGCTAACCTGCTCTACCTCTTCATCCTCGTGCAGGAGCTCGTCATCCGCGACTCCTGCCACATCTTCCCGGTCAGAATCCCGGCTCTACCTTCCCTGTCAGTATCCCTGGACTACCTTCCCTGTCAGCATCCCCACAGATCCTTTCCTACCATTAGTACCCCTTGGTACGTTTTCTGTAGGTGACCCTCCTTGATGTCGTCGATGGAGCCCAGTAAGTGTATGCTGTTTTAAATCCCTCTACCAACGCTCCCCCCTCTTCGCCCTCTGTTCTTCTCCCTCTGTATCTGCCTGTAACAGCCCAACCATCTGCCAGATGATGCTCTGGAGTCCTCCAAGCATAATGCCACTGGGGCTGCCCATGAGGGGCAGAGTGACAGCAATAGTGTTCCTGGCGATGGCAGTGCTGGCGATGGCAGTGCTGGCGGTGGTGTTGGAGATGCGCAAAGGGGGAGTGGAGAAGGGAGTCAGGGGGAGGATGAGGGAGCAAAAGGATCGGGTGAACGCGGGCACGGGCTGTGGAAAAGGGTGGATCGGAGTGCTCTGGCCGCTATCTTCCAGCCTATGCTGCCTGATGGCGACTTGGGCTCTGCTGTCAGCACTACGGAGGTCACATGCAGGTGAGTCTCCAAAGCACCACTTCCCACAGTCCATTCCTTCCACCCGCATGCCCCCCGTCCTCCCTCTCCTCCCTACTCCTCCCCCCTCCCTCCAAATCCCCTCGTATTAACTCTTTTGGCTGTTCTCATCTGCCCTAACCCTTGCTTCTGCACTTCCTTCTGCCCTCACCCTCGTTTCTGCACTTCCTTCTGCCCTCACCCTTACTTCTGCACTTCCTTCTGCCCTCACCCTTACTTCTGCACTTCCTTCTGCCCTCACCCTTACTTCTGCACTTCCTTCTGCCCTCACCCTCGCTTCTGCACTTCCCTCTACCCTCACCCCACGTGTCCCAGTCTCTTGGGCTCAAAGGTGACGGAAAGCAAGTGGCGGGTGTACGAGCACTTCTGGACGGTCATCACCATCATGCACGACAAGGCCGAGGCAGCAGAGGCCCTCGCAGCCGGCATGCTCCAAACCGTCGACGACGATCCCGAAGCACCACCCCTTCCTGTCCACCCAGCGTTCCTCCCCCCTCCTATGCCCCCCTCGCCTCCCCGCCGCTCCTTCCTCCAACCCAAGCCCAACTCCTCTGCTGCCTCTGCTGCCAGACCGTACAGCCAGCATGGGAGTGGGAGGCACAGGCTGGGACGTAGCGCAACAGTGGCACCAGCGGCAGGGGAGAGAGGGAGGGTGGGCGAGGTGGCACTAGAGGTGGTAGAGGAGGAGATGCTGGACTTGGCTCGGCAGGGGTGTCCGTGGTTTGTGCTGCGCCTGGTGCTGATCTACATGTTCGAAGCTGAGCTGCCCGCACTGCATCGCTGCCTGAACCATTTTGTGGTGCTGCTGCCTGTTGTGTTCCCTGACGATGATGACACCCGCCTGCACAACATGGCTCACCTCTTCCTCTGGTAACAAACCACTTTCTCTTGACACAGTTCCCCTGTTTTGAATTTAGCACATTTTCCCCCTCTCTTGTAGAAACCTCTAGAAACCTTCTGCACCTACTGGCCTCAGATCCCTTCCCTCTATCTGCTCTTCCTCGCCATTTACTCCCTCCAGGGCGCTCCTAGAGGCACGGGCGCTGGTGGGAGACATGGATGGGGGGGCACGGGGCCACATTATTGCGCAGTGCACTCGAGACGTCTTCCTCGCCGCCATGCCCATCCTCGCCCGCTGCATCGATGAGAGGGGCGGCCCTCCCGCTTACACCCCTGTGGACTTCACTCAGATGACGGGAGGCATGCTGGACGATGGGGGGGCGGAGTGGGGTGACGAGGAGTCCAGTGAGGATGCGTTCACATCTGGAGTGGGGAGCAGCAGCAGTGGCATGGGGCAAGGGGCGGCGGGGTCGGTTGGGCTGACTGAGACAGGGTCGCAGGCCGGGGGAGAGGGCGAGCAGCAGAGGCATCCTCTTTATGAAGTGATTCATGCCGACAGAGTTCATGACGCTGTGAGTTGATCCGTAGACCTCCTTTTATCAGTAGGTAGCAATGCACCTGGTTTGAAGTGGTCCTGGTCTGCCTCTTGTACCAGGAATGTCTGTCCATTCACAACTCTCTTCCTGAACCAACTTGGCACTCTTAACAATTTTATGGTGTGATTTGTTGTTGTTTGTTCCCATTGTTGTACTCCGTCGCATCATTACATCCCCTCCCCTTGCTCCCCCCTTTCTCCTCAGGCTCGCAGCGAGTGCAACGACGTCATCTTCATCGTCTCCTCTCTCAACGACAGCCTAGCAGACGTCCAGCAAGACATAGACGCATGGGAGGAGACGCAGCAGGAGAGGCGGCAAGTCGTGGAGCAGCAGCGGAGGAGTGTTCTCGGCGGGATGATGGAGCTGGAGGCAAAGCGGCGTGCCGTCGCTACCCTGGCATACGCTGAGCACCAGCAGAACGCCAAGGCAACCTGGAACGCTCTGTATCGGCAGATGACGAGCGAAAGAGGCCCCTGGTACTGTGGCCCGTCTCCCGACGACCCTCCACCCCGCTGGAAGCTGGATAAGGCAGAGGACCCTCAGCGACGGAGGTTCCGCCTGCGCCCCAACTATAGGTTTGACGAAAGCCTGTGCACTAGGAAAGGAGAGGAGCGGAAATCGGGTGGGGGAGGCGAAGAGAAGGGTGATGCAGGAAAGGATGGCAGGAGTGAGGACGGGGAGTTGGAGGGGAGTGGGTCGCTCCTGTCGAGTGCTGCTGGGCCAGATGCTAGGAGTTTCCGCAGGTACACTAGTGAGGGGGGCAGCTTGGCCATGGGAGATGCGTCAGCGTCTATAGGGAGGAGCAGCAGCCTTGGCTGGGGAGGGGAGGGGATTGGGCAAGGGGGGGGATCAGTGGGAGGGGAGCTGCAGCAGCAGCAGCAGGGGAGGTTGGTGTCTAGCGTGAACGTGGACCAGGACTTGATGGAAGAGCTGGCGCTGCTGCAGCAGAGCAACGAGCAGAGCCAGCCGGGGCAGGCAGGGAAGAAGAAGGCCGCGCAGGAGGGGGAGGCTGAGGGTGGGGCTGTGGGAAGGGTTGGCGGTCTCCCAGCAGAAGGCACACCAGGGGTGAGTGAGGATCCGTGAAAGAGGATTTGGAGTCAACAGCCCTGTTTTCGTCCCATCAAGAGGACATCTGTCATGTTTTCTCCCAGCTGCTCCCTCCTGCTGTGCTCTTTCCGTCGCCCTAACTCATCCTCTCCCCACACTTCCCCTCTCCGCCCTTTCCTCTGTGCCCCAGGTCCCTGAAGACATCCCCTGCATCCTCCTCACGACCAAGCGCAAGCTGGCTGGCCGGCTGCACATCTCCCACACGGAGCTCCACTTCTATGTGGACTTTGCCATGGACAGCACCGAGGGCTTCCTGCTCTTCCACCCCGACGGCTCCCTCCACAACCCCCTCTCCCTCTCCTCCGCTTCCATCTCTGGCGGGGAAAAACTCCCCCCTAAGGAGCGGTGGCGGCGCGTCATACAAAAGCTGCTGCTTATATCGAGGTTTCAGCCGAGTGAGAAGACTCTGGAGAAGGTGACAATGAGGATGCGCAAGCATACGGATATTCTTGATGACGTGAAGATGCACCGAATCTGGTCGATGTCTGAGCTCCGGCACATCCGCATGACCCGCTACCTCCTCCGCCCATCCGCCTTCGAGCTCGAGTTCTCCTCCTCGCTATCCCCCGCCTTCTTCTCCTTCTCCTCGCCCCAGCTAGCTGACAAAGTTGCCCACCGCATTCTGGTGAACGCCAACCGCGGGGCTGCAGCTCACAGCAGCAAGCTGGTTGAGCTGGTGGACAGGAAGAGAGGGCAGGAGCTGGCTGAGACGGCGAGGACGCGGTGGAACAGGCGGCAAATTTCGACCTTTGATTATCTCATGGAGCTCAACAGCCTGGCGGGGCGCACGTACAACGATCTGATGCAGTACCCTGTCTTCCCGTGGGTGATTGCGGATTACACCTCGCCCACGCTGGACTTGGCGAATGCTGAGGCGTTCAGAGATCTGAGAAAGCCAGTGGGGGCACTCAACCCCAAGAGGCTGGAGGTATGGCATGAGACCTTATTGCATGCAGCTTGCTTGACTTCTTACTGCACTCTTGTTGAGGATTGTTATCGTTCTCTGATCATTCCTGGCGTTTCTTCCCTGTAACTGGGTGACTTTTGAGTCGACTCAAAAATGCCGTTTTTTCCCTGTAATTGCTGATATCCCCCTTCATTTCCCTGCAGCTGTTCAAGGAGCGATATGACAGCATGGACACGGACATTCCAGGGTAAGGCATTGCATGCTTTTGTTCAATTTGATTGTCGGTTGGGGTTAGCACACTTGCATTATAGGATGCCTCGTATCCACACCATATGCATCGCGTGTGCTCCTTTTGTTGAATTATTTCCAACCGTGCACTTTCCGCTGTGGCCCCATTGCCCATTGCCTCCAAATCCTGTCCTTCGTTCCCAATTCCCCATCAATCAATCATTCCGCATTGCATTCCTCTCCCAGCTTCCTGTACGGGTCGCACTACTCCTCTGCTGGCGTGGTCCTCTATTTTCTCATCCGCATGGAGCCCTTCGCCACCCTCCACCGACTGCTGCAGGTATTTTTGGATTTAATTCTTAGTGCGCTCTAAATTCACTGCACATAGGCCTTCGCCATTCTCTGGGTTTTGGCCTCAAGGCTCACTCAAACCTGTGATTGCCGTTACACATGTGTCCCAATTGTGCATCACCATCCTTGCAGTCCTTGTATGGACTCAATTACAGAACGGCCCACAAAAACTTAGATAGAGCAATCCATCAGAATTGCTCAGAGTGGCCACCCTGATGAGGTGAACTGTCTGTTTGGCCACATGGGCCAATCGCCGGCCTGAGCAGGTGCTATGCCTGACAATCCAATCCATGTCTCTCCCCCTACCCCTTGCCACCCACCCCCACAGGGAGGCCGCTTCGACCAGGCGGACCGCCTGTTTGACAGCGTGGCGTTGGCGTGGGAGAACTGCCAGAGCAACACGAGCGACGTGAAGGAGCTGCTGCCGGAGTTCTTCTACCAGCCGGAGTTCCTGCGCAACAGCTGCTCCTTCGACCTCGGCAGCAGGCAGGACGGTCAGGCTCTCGATGGCGTCCTCCTGCCTCCCTGGGCCAAGGTGGGTGTTTGTGTCTTGTACAAGCCTCCTGCATGTGTTTTGACGTGCCTCCGACTACTCGTCTACCTGCCGGAGTTCCTGCGCAACAGCTGCTCCTTCGACCTGGGCAGCAGGCAGGACGGCCAGGCTCTGGATGGCGTCCTCCTGCCTCCGTGGGCCAAGGTGGGTGTACGTCATGTACAAGGGTGTTACCACTAGGCCCTCAATGGCGTCGTCCTGCCTCCCTGAGCCAAGGTGCTTTTTCTTGTCTGGGCAATGCTGAAAGACGCCCCCGTATGCCTCTGCCCAACTTGTGCGCCTCTGGCCCTCTGACCCAATCGCGTGAGCCAAGCTTTTCGCTGTGAGCCTAGCCGTACCCCAGAAAAGGCCCTTGAAGGTCCATGTGGTCCAAGTCGTGTGGTCCTGACCCAATCTCCATCCCGGCCTGGTCTCACCCTGCTCGCTTGCCCCAGGAATCCCCTGAAGAGTTTGTGCGCGTGCAGAGAGAGGCCCTGGAGAGCGACCACGTAAGCCAGAGCCTGCACCACTGGATCGACCTCGTGTTCGGGTGCAATCAACGGGGGGAGAAGGCCATTCAGGTGGGCATGTGTGCTTGCTGTCTTGTCATGGGCATGCTGATGTGTCATTGCTGACATGTTATGGGCATGCTGCCATGTCATATGCATTCTGACATATCATGGTCACGCTGTCTTATGGGCCTGAGAAGGCTCCCCAACGTCTTCATCTCTACCCCTTCTCTCTCTGCCCCACTGCCCTCTGTCCCCACAGGCGGACAACGTGTTCTACTACCTCACCTATGAAGGCGCAGTTGACATTGATGCAATCACCGACCAGACCAAGCGAACAGCCATCGAGCAGCAGATAGCAGCGTTCGGCCAGACGCCCATTCAGCTCTTCACACGCCCCCACCCTGAACGCGGCCCACGCCTCCAAATCACCCGCCCGCTCCGCTTCTTCCCGTCCTCCATCACTCTATCTGCAATCATCCCAGCTCCACCTACTCCAGCTACAGCCACCCCACTGTTTCCCCAGCCTCTTGGGGGCGGCTTGGGAAGCCCTGCGGGGAGGACGAGAGGGGGGAGGGGGAGGTCGGAGGATGATATGGCAGTGGTGTTTGCGGGGGTGGTGGGGCGCACAGCAGTCAGTGTCACGAGGGGGCAGCTGTTGACTGTGCGGCCGTGGTATGCTCCCAAGAAGGGCGTACAAGTGGGCATGGTGAGTGGTTTGAACGGATACCTGAATGGACGAGGTGATGTGTGTGGGGATGGTGGTGGGGCGCGCTGCAGGGAGAGTGGCGAGGGGGCAGCTGTTGATTGTGTGGCTGTGGAACGTGCCAAAGAAGGGCGTGCAAGTGGGCATGGTGAAAGTGATGACAGGTGAATGCTTGGGTGATGGCTGAATGCATGCCATGAGATGCATGCCTTGGCTGTGGGGGATCTTTGCGTTTATTAAAGGCCTCGGTCTGATTGAATTGTTTTACCTCGCCGCCCCACCCTCCCTTCATCACAAATCAACAGGATTACAGCATCAGCATGGGTAAGCCTAGCCTAGTGTGCAGGATCGGAGCACCTCTCTCTGCTGCCGGAGCTAGCAGCCATGGGGGCTGCTTCGGGCTCGTGCCAGGGGCAACCTCAGCATTCCTCCTGTCTGGGGGCCATTGGGACAACGCCATTCACAGCACATCAGTGGCCGATGCTGCCACGGTTCAGGCCCTGCAGCAACACAGCGACCTTGTCACCTGCCTTTCAGGTGCGCCCTCTGCTGCTCCCACCTGAGTCTGTTCATTTCACCTGGTTCTCTTTTCTGGTTGAGTTCATGCTGACCGCTAAACACAAACTCCATACTCCCATCAGGTTTTGAGAAGCTTAAAGACAATTTGCTATCAAACCACTCAGCACTTCTTTCTTTATCCTTTCTCGTCTCTCCCCCCTCTTTCACCCACCTACGCCGCCCCCACCCAGTGTCCAAGGATGGTTACTGGCTGGCCACTGGCAGCCGAGACACAACAGTCATGATCTGGCGCATCGACCAGCTGGGCGCGCACACACACGCTCAAGGCGACCCCTTCATCTCCTCCAAGCCCAAAGCAGTCCTTTGCTCCCACGACGATGCCGTCACCGCTGTCATCGCCTCTTCCGAGCTAGATCTGATCCTCTCCGCCTCTCTGGACGGCACCCTTGTCTTTTCCACTCTCCGCTCTGCCTGGTTCCTCCGGTCCGTGCACCACCCCAACGACTGTGCGAACGAGGCTTTGCGGGTCGCCCTCTCCGCCCCACTCGCCCGCGTCGCAGTCTACTCCGATGCAGCCCGAATGCTCCATGTCTGCTCCATCAATGGGCGGTGGCTGGAACATGCGCTAGTGGACGAACCAATCACGCACCTTGCCTTGTCCCGTTGTGGGGAGTTCCTTGTCACGGCATGCACTGCCGGGTGGGACAGTGGAGGAGCAGGAGGCGGAGGGGGAGGGGATGTTAGCCCGAGAGGGGGAGGCGGAGGGTCAGAGATGGGGATGGTGGTGGTGCGGTCCATGCATACGCTGGAGCCGCTGCTGATGTTTGATGGGTTGGGGTCGCCAGCAGCATCACTCTCAACAACCGAGGAGGACGCCATACTTGTGGGGCTGGAGGATGGCAGGATATTGCTGTATGCTCTCAAGCTCTCCAACCATTAGCCATCTCTCGACTCGAGCTCTCTGTGCACCAACTCTACATGACTGCTCCACCGGCTCTCCACAACACACATATAAATTTGTTCGGAAGCTTCTGCTCATGGGCAAGATGTGTATCACGGACGGCACAAGGAGCCTTGTGAAACCCGACACTTGTGTGGACGCCCTATTGCATGTCCTCGCTGCTTCCTGTTTCTGTGAACCTAACGTGTGCAGACGTGACTAAGCCAAGTGATGTCTCTACCACCAGCTGTGTGGAAGTGGACACTCTTTATGTTTTGCTGAGATATATGGTGAGGGATGGTAGCATCTACGGTACTTTGCCAACCGTTTGAAGCCTGGTGAGCTTTACAACGCAGGGATACGACTAATCATACACCCTTTGTGCAGGCTCGTTTGGTGGATCTTACCCATGAGTTGAAACAAGCCCAACACCATAACTTTCTCCCAGCACAGAGGGCTGTAAATGCAGGATGGACGTGTACATCAGAGGACCACTGCACACTACCACCTGACAAATTCAACCTGTCACTCCTTCTTCAAGCATTTCCTGATTATGGCCGGCTTCAGCTGCCCTTGATACACCACAACAGCGATCACCAGTGTGAAGAGAGAGCAGAGGAACCCACTGGCCATGGCAATCCCCACCTCTCTGGACCAGCTGCCTCCCCCTCCTGAAACCGACCACCAGTCACTCTCCCCTCCTTTCCCTACCCCCACACTTGACTCAGTCTGGAAGCTGTGGTGGTGAAACCACACCACAGAGCCGTGCAGTCCCACCAGCCCGCCCTGCTTCACCAGCTGTAGGTGGTCCGCTACTGGGTACACCGCAGCGCCGATGATTCTGTTCTTGAATGCGTGGAAGACCAGGTTGAGGCGGTTGTTTACTCTAAGTATGTCTTTTACGTGGCTTCCCGTCCCAAGAGCTAGTGTTCCACTGGCCCCAAATCTACTGCTGCTGCTGTGGTCACTGGTATTATTGCTGGAGCTACCGCTGCTGCTGCTGCTTCTGTCCTTGAGCCTGTGGTAAGAGCCCATGAGGAGGAAGGTAAGCGGCACGTACGATTGGTTCCTGGGATCCGCTGCCACGCGGCACTGCCACGTCAGCTCCTGCTGCACCAGCTGCGCTAATCGTTCGTATGCCTCCGCAGTTCGCACCTCGAGGCTGCAGTAACGGTAGATGTTGACGCCGACGAAGACGGACAATGGACGGCCGGATTCGAAGCACAGGGGTCCCGGACCCCAGGGATCGGACGGGGAGTGGCGGCATTCGAACACCACCTCGTCGCCCTCCTTGTAAACGGACGGTACGGATGGGTCCACGTGAAATGCATGCTTGCCGGAATGACGGGAATGTGATGTATGGGATTTCAGGTCGGATTTGCTGTCTTGATTATGGCCGATGTGCACATCGCGAGCTTGGACTAGGGTTAATGGGAGAAGTCTTGTAGTAGCGGGGTGAGTGAATGGGCGTGGGCGAATATCTGGAATGGCGGGGACGACGAGGACGAGGAGGAAGGCGGGCAGAAACTGGATTGGAAAGGCGAGGTTGCGAGGCGGGGATATCCCGCGGCGTGATCGTTTGATGCATGGGGCGGGCATCGCGGTCGATCAATGAGAAGTTTTCCCTGAACTGAAGCTTGAATCCGGTATTGTCGCTTGGGATGAATGCTCGTCTGGTGAGTCAACGATTTCCCTACCCGTGCGACCAACGCTCAGCCTGTCAATGCTGCTACTATCGAGCGTCTGATCGTAGGGAAAGGGACCTACAGCGCTCTAGCACTCGAACAAGCCATGAACGGACCTGCGCAGACTAGCGTCCTGCCAGGATGAATCGCTGGTCAAGGCTGTCGGTGCCAGTGGAGAAGAAAGCTATGCTGGTTGGCGAGGAACAGGCAGATCTGTCGTAAAATCTCGAACGGTACATTGTGGTGTAGACAAGTGCACGAACGACTGAACCTGTAACTTTTTCCATGCAGGACTTTTAGCGAGGAATAGCCCATGAGATTCTAGGCAATAAGGGTGAGTCGTGTTGTTCAATGTGGATTTGTTTGTGTGCACACCATTCAACAGATCCAATAACGCGTACGTATCGTCTGACAGCTGCTTCAGCAGCAAGGCCACATGCGAGTGCGATGCCGTTTCCCGCGCAGCTGAGCACCTCTTCCGTCCAGCGCTGGCATCGCGAGTCGGGGGGCGCCCCACCTCGTATCAGCATTCCCAAGGGCACCACGACCAAACCAGACGAGCCAACCAACTGCAATAGGTGAGACTAGGTGATAGAAGACGGACCTCAGCCCAGAAAGCAGAACAATACAGACTAGGCACCTCGGCAATCGCTCGTTGCGTCCTTCATGACCCGTTGATTGTAACTCAGAAGCGATCGGAAGCTCGCCGTTTTCCGCCAGCATAGCACAGGAGTCGCAAGCTCCCAGCCTATTTCGACGCAGTCTTGTAAATTATCAATCTGCTAGTCTAACGACGCGAGCGAAGGAAGTCAGGCAGTCGATAAGCGAAGGTATGATCAGAGCACAGCTTCTGTCGACCTTTCAGCGTCAGATGTCCAACCCATGCCTTGCATATGAGACTCCATACTCTCCGATAGATCTAGCCTACATTGTCCGTAGAAGCTAGCAGCATGTACTCCGCGCCGGTATCAGAAAGTCGAAAGTTGCTTGAAGATAAACAGTTCTGAAATTTGCTTCTAGCAAGATGAAGCACCAGCTGGACTATGTGCAAGCTCGTCGTGGCGTCATGGCTCGACAATCGCAGCTTAGTGTGCGTGACTTCTCCAGGCAGGCTAATGCTATTGCGATTAGCATACCTCTTTCCTTCATCGCCTCCTTAATCATCGTCAATCTCGCAACAGCAGAATCAAATCCAGCATCCCCTGCGAGGCACATTAGAGGATCGCTCGACTTCGGCAGCGTCCCGTTGAACGGCTCGGGTCCGTCCTTGTTCCCCGGCGCGACGCCTCTCTCCACCGCAGCGCAGCGCGTGCTGCTGGGCCAAGCTCTGGGCGAGGAGCCCGCCGCGTTGACGCAGCTACCGTCCGCACAGTCCACTGTTGTGCTAGCGCCCGGAAAGTCGCTAGGAGAATCGTCGGAACAATCGCTAGGACAGTCGTCAGGTCAGTCGTCAGATCAGCCGTCAGGACAGTCGCTAGAGCAGTCGTCAGATCAGTCGTCAGGACAGTCGCCTGTCGTGCTCCCTGCAGCATCGGCGGCGAAGGCTACAGGAGCGAAGCCGCACGATGCCACGTGGACCGGCCTGCATAACAAGTACTCTAGAATAGCGGATCTGCTGCCGTCGGCTGACGTCATTTTCTACGGCGATTCGCTCACTGAGGTATCGGTCACAGCGCCTTTTGTTTTCGAGGCTTTGATAATCCCATCTGGACTTCATCGGTGGGCCGGGCCGTGGAACCAAGGGGCGAGACTGTGAGGCGACTGAGGGGTGGAGAATGCGCGCCATCGCGCTCACTCTTTCATGCCACGTCTCCCCGGCCTTCTCCTTCATGTCATGCCTCTTCTGCTTTTCGTCACCCCCAATCCGTCGCTTTTACGTCCACAGGGCTGGCTCGGGACGTTCAAGGGAACGTCGACTAGTCTCTACGCGGGAGTGAGGTCAGTGCCCTTGCCGCCGTTTCCTAGTCACACGGCCCCAGCCGTGATACTCGTCAATCTCGCAAGTCACAGTCTGTCGCAGCCAGAGGTTGCCGCACAGAGAGTTTGCCAGAACCACGATGGCTATAGATTGCCGCGGATGTGGCGCGATGACTAAGCTGAAACCCCTTATTCCATCCCCACCTTTCCGCTCGTATCGTTTTGAGTCGACTCAAAACGAAATGATTAACACATGTGGCGCGATGGCCAAAAACACACACCCTGCTTCCATCCCCATTTCGCCCTCCCATCCTCGGCAGAGGCGTCTTCGAATCCGTTAAAGCGTCTGTGGGCGCTACATCTGTGCAGGCTTTCGGCATAGCTGGCGACACTGTAGACGACCTCCAGCAGAGAATAGAGGTACGGACGGACGCCTGTGGCATTTTGAGTCGACTCAGAACGAAACTGCTTACACATAGAGGTACGGACGCCCGTGGCATCACTTTCCCCTGTCGGCTCCTCCTCTTCTAGAGCCACTACTCATGAATATCTCTGTGTGTGCGTACCTCGGGCAGCAGCCCCAGCACAAGGACGGCTCATCAATATCTGTGTGCGCGTTTGTGAGGCGCCACCTGCGTCGCTCCTGAGATACAAAAGCCCTGTTTAATCCATCCCTTTCTGGATTCACTGCCTCTTATGAATCTCCCGGTCTCCTCTGATTCCTCTGTCGTCTCTCCTGCCGTTTCCAGGGAGGCGAGTTCCCCCCTTCTCTGCAGCTGCGCGTGGCGGTACTGTGTGTGGGAATCAACGACATCCTCACCAAAAAGACGAGCGCCAGCACCACCGCCAACAAGGTATGAATTCGCTTTTGAGTCAACTCAAAAGCACACCTTCCCTGCAGCTCCGCGTGGCAGTTCCGTGTGTGGGAATCAACGGCATTTTCTCAAAGAAGACAACCGCCAGCACCGCCGCCAACAAGGTATGAGGCCACATGCCGTTTCTCCACTCGCCATCGCGCAAGCGTGAGGAGTCTAGGAGTCTATTTTTGAGGCACCTCAAAAATGGACTCCTCGCACAAGGTATTAGACCGCATGCCGTTTCTCAATTCTCCATCACTCCATTTTTGAGGCGCCTCAAAAGCAGCGCCTCTCTTCCAAACTCCTCGCATCCCCTCCACTTCCTCGTCTCTCCAGCAAACTCCACTAGGCGACTGAGCGACTGAGTCTGACCCTCGTCATTCCCTCCTCCTCTGCTTCTCCACCCTTGTCCTTCCCTCCCTCCGCTGCTTCCCCTCACCCTTGTCCTTCCCTCCCCTCTCTCCCTTCCCCCCACCCAGGTCGTAACGCTGGCAGTCAATGTGCGCAAGGCGCACCCCTCCACTGCCGTCCTTGTGCTGGGGCTGCTGCCCGAGGTAAGAGCAGCACGTGTGGGCTGCTGCCCGAGGTAAGAGCAGCACGTGATGATTCCTTCGCTGCATTTACCCGCGCCATCACGGTTCATCTGCGGTGGTGGTCAGACAAATCGTCGCTCCTCTGTTGCATTCTCCTGAACCGCCACTCTCAGGCGGCCACCAGCAAGGATGCGTCGCTGCCTGACCCTGCGCCGGCTCAAGTGAACGCCCTCCTCGCGCTGGCCCTGGCTCCGGGTAAGACGTGGCACTTGCTGGTTCATGACTGGAGTTGGCCATTGCTGGCTCAGTGCTGGCTGCTGGTTCCATGGGTGGCACTGTCGTCATTTGAAAGGTGTGGTTGGCATCTGGAGAACGCAGCCAGCAGAATTGCAGTTTCCCCGGCTCATCCCCCTCTTTTTCATTCCGCTCCCCTCTGCATCCCTCCTCTCCCTTCCTCTCCCCTCCCTCCCCTTGTGACCCCCTGCAGTGGACGGTGTGTCCTTCCTCGACTGCTCCTATGCCTTCACCAATCCCGGTGGCTCTATCAACGCGGCCGCCTATGCACCTGTGAGATTCCCTTTGCGGTGGCGCAAATGAGTGCGTGACTTTTGAGTCGACTCAAAAGTCACCTACTGCAGCAGCTGCTGCGTCCATTCTGCATCGACTTCAGCACTGCCACTCGCTACAGGGCTTGATAGGGTTTTGAGAATCTTTGAAAACACGCCACAGGGTCTGATTCGGATGTTTCTGTGTCTCCTGTCCTCTGCTTGCTGTCTCCCACGTCTCTGCCTCCTCCCCCACCCCCCTTCTGCATGCACCCCCCCGTGCAGGACTCGTTTCGATACCTGCATCTATCAGCTACAGGCTACAAGTCATGGTCGGGGTGCTTCTCACCACAAGTCAAGACGATGCTCAAGTGAGTTGAGAGGACGGTGAGGAATCGGACTGCTAAGGACGAGGTGACTTTTGAGTCGACTCAAAAGTCACCTCGTTGAGAGGACGGTGAGGTATCGGACTGCTAAGGACGCTGCTGTGAGTAATGGGTAGGATGAGGTGGGCCTGCAGTATATAGCATGTGAGGTGGGCCTGCAGCATATGGCATGCTGAGGTGGGTCTGCAGTATATGGCATGCTGAGGTGGGCTCTATAGTCGTGCTGAGGTGGGTGAGGAGGAAGATGAAGCTTTATAGTGTGCAGTTTATAGGGGGCGAGTGAATCCGCTGACTACTTGTTCCCTCAGTGCACGTGTTCCCTCATTGCACTTGCTCTTCTCTCTCCCGCTGCCTTCACTCTCCTTCTCAGTCTCCTTCACTCAGAAGCCTCCTCTCTTCTCCCACCGCTTTCATTCTCCTCCCATCCCATCCCATCCCATCCCATCCCATCCATGCACATCTCACAGAGAAACGTCAGCAATCCCCGCTGTACCCACTTCCCCTGTCCGCACGCCCTCAACACCTCCCCCCGCCAAAGCACCTCCGTCCAAATCCTCTCCCCCTCTCAAATCGCCGCCCACTAAACCACCATCCCAAAAGTCACCATCAACGTCCCCGTCCAAAGCACCCCCCACCAAGTCACCCCCCACTAAGTCACCACCGACCAAGGCACCCCCCTCCAAGGCACCCCCACAGACATCACCTCCTTTAATGTCTCCCCCAGTCAAGCCTCCACCAGCGGCGCCCTCCCTCCCCTCCCCTGCTGCGCCCTTCATACCATCCGTGTCCCCCCCTCCCTCGCCACCTAAGATCCCCGCTTCCAAACCCAATCAGACTTCTAAAGCTAATCAGACATACGGCACACCAGTTAAACCCCCTGTCAACTCCACTGGCTCTAAGAGACGATCCCCCCATAAGACGCCTGTAAAAAAACAGTCCCCTTATAAGCAGAAGCCGCCACAGAAGCCACCAGCAGCCTCCACCCCCCCTCCTGATGAGGTGCCTCTTCCAATCAAGAAGGAAAACTCCAGTAAAACTCCAACCACTGCCCCCAAGCCAGCAAACGACCCGTCCGAACCTGCTGCCGAACCTGGTCCCAAGTCGTTCAAGCCTAACTCAAACACTTCTGAACCTGAACCTGGCGTTTCTGATCCCGAGCCTGGTCTTTCCAAGCCTGGAGGGGATCCATCCGAGCCCGAAAAAACTCCATCCGAGCCTGCGAGGAATTCTTCCGAGGCAGATCGTGCCCGTTCATCTGGCATCAAGAGGATGAAAGGGAGGAACCCTGAGCACCCATACCAGCCTGGTGGGGAGAGCAGTGGGGGCGCGGGGGACAAGCAGAATGGAAGCAGCGGGGCAAGTGGCGCTGGGGGTACTGGTGGTACTGGTGGTACTGGTGGTACTGGTGGTACTGGTGGTACTGGGAATGTGACTCATGGGGACGTGACTCATGGGAATGGGACGCATGGGGATGTGACACATGGGGATGTGACACATGGGGATGTGACACATGGGGATGTGACACATGGGGATGTGACACATGGGGATGTGACACATGGGAATGTGACACATGGGGATGTGACACATGGGGATGTGACACATGGGGATGTGACACATGGGGATGTGACACATGTGCCGCATGGGAACGCGACACATGGCAATGTGACTGAGAACAATGTGACGTATGGGAGCCGGCAGCCTGCACCAGCAGCTCCTGTGGGCGAGCAGCCAGCTCCAGTGGGCGAGCAGCCATCTTCCGAACCTCCTGCAGCAACCAAAGTGCTCCCTGCAGTGAGTGGCTCGTGCACGCTTGCTCTGATCCGTGCATTATCCTCTATCATGCCCTCGTCTTCTGCTGTTTCTGTTTCGACAAGGCTCAATGAGAGAGTGTGCTTCTCCTGAAACATGTGTCTCTTCCATCCATGCCCATGCCCATGCCCATCCCCATGCCCATGCCTGTACACTCCCTCGTCTCCACCTCATCTCCACCTCATCCCCATCCCATCCCCATCCCGTCCCCATCATGACCTCACCCATCCGCGCAGCAACCGCTGAAGCCCAAAGTAATCGCCAAACCTCTGCCTTCCGCCATTCCAGTCCTGCCTGTGAGTTGTGCCCCGCCCCTGACATCCCAATGCCTTACTCGGCTTTCCTTCGCTACACTTGCAATGGAAAGTGACTCTCTGTCGGTTGATCAATCGCCCAGCTCTCTTCAACTAAACATGCCGCTCATGCATCATCCCTTTTCTCCATATCTCTACCATTCGAGTCTCAGTGCTCCGGCCTTTCCCCTCCTTTCCCCTTGGCAGGTTCCTCTTCCTCCTCTGCCTCCTCCTGTCTCACCTGCTCCACTCCCCAAGCTGCCTTCTCCAGTAGCCGCCGCCCCCTCGTCACCGCCCCCCACTCAACCTGCTCCTTCCTCTGCCCCGGCCCTTGTACCACCAAAACCAGCACCAGCGCCAACAGCACAACCATTACCAGCGCCAGCATCAGCGCCCCTTCCTCTCCCCCCTGAACAGCCGCCTGCCCCTTCGCCCTATCCACTTACCCCTGCTCCCTTGTCCCCCAAACCCCCTGCCACCATCCCTGTGCCAGCAGCCATACCTCCCCCTCTCATCCCCACCCCTCAACCCGCACAAGCCAGCCCTTCCCTTGCATCCCCTGTTCCAACTGCCACTCGAGAGCCTCTTGCTGTACCAGTTGAGGCACCTGTGGTTGGTTCGGGTCTTCCCTCACCCACGGAAGTGGATTCTCCAACCATAAGTGTTGCGGCCTCACCAACTAAGGATGCTGGCATGCCGGGGTTTGCAGCTGTGAGCAATTCTGCTCCACCAGTCGTCCCATTCTGGCCCCCCAGCAAAGGAGGGGACAGATCACTCCAGAACAACATCCTGCAAATATTTTTTGCATTAGGCGCCCTTATTCTGTCGATCATACTATGAACCTAATGAATATGTTTTCGTGCAGGTAGCATTGTCCAAATACTGTACCTCTTTCCATTTTTTGTAATGTCACGGCACGTAACATTGGTTGAGTACTGTTATGCGGATTCGATTTGCAACATGGGAAGTGTACTGCATGTTGCTAATTTATCGCCCTCCTCCAAGCGAGCAACATTGTGCTGCAGCCTCGAAAGGGGCAGCTCTGCCCCAACAGAGCCCCAACGGCTCTTTCCGCCAAATTCGGAGAAATCGAGTCACTGCTGCCCTGCGGGTGACTGCTGCTCTGGGAGTCGCTGTTCCCCCTGACAGGAGCAGCTCGGCATGGCAGCACGGCACATGACGCCAGTGGTGCTGCCCGCATGCCAGCCTTGCTGAGTCGCAGGACGTAACAGGCGCCGCAAAAAATTGCTAACGTTGCATTTCAGAGCTCCTTGGTCTCGGCGATATTTGTGATACGTTTTGGTCGTCGGCTGGAGTGTCAACGATCCCATAGTTTCAGCTCGTTGACCCGCTCTCTAGCCCTTACACCCACGTCAGTTGGATCGGATTTAGGTTTGGACGGCATCGACGGCATCATCACCGTGGTAGCTTTGTCTGCTGATGCCGTTTTAACGCCCAGACCCGCTTTGGCTCTTAGACCCGCGTGAGCTCTTGACCCACCTTAGCGTTTGCGTTGACGTCTGAAGCTTCAGATGGCGGCGTCGGCGGCGCCGTCGCCGCGGTGGCTGTGCCAGATGTGCGGCACGCGGCTCGAGCTCACGGGGCTGGACGGGCTCGCTCATAGCGCGTCGTCGCTCGGCCAATCAGCGGACGCGATGGGCGCGTCGCGGTGCGGGCCGCACGCCGCGAGTTCCGCGTCGATGCTCGATCAGTCGTTCGTCGTCCTGCCGCCGAACTCCGCCGCGATTCACGGCGGCGCCCCTCACGCTTCTCCTCATGCAGGCACCGGCGGACAGATCAGACCGTTGATTAGTACTGCTCAGACGAATACTCCGCCGTTGATTCCGCGACCACCTGCGGGTGGTGCCGTTACTGCTGCTGCTGCTTCTAGTTCCTCTGCTGCTGCTGCTGCTCCCGCTGTGGGTTCAGCTGGTGTGGCCAATCCAGCGGCCATCCCGGAAGAGCAGCAGCAGAAGCAGCCGCAGCAGAAGCAGCCGCAGCAGCAGCAGATTCAGCAGCATCCGCAGCACAGAGCATTAGCTGCTCAGTCTCAGTCTCAGTCTCAGTCTCAGTCTCAGTCTCAGTCTCAGTCTCAGTCTCAGTCTCAGTCTCAGTCTCAGTCTCGGTCTCAGTCTCAGTCTCAGTCTCAGTCTCAGTCTCGGTCTGTGATTCCATATCAGTCTCAGTATCAGGCTCATCTCCAACAACAGTCACAGGGACCAATCAGAGCCGCACATCTGCCGTCTATTGGTGGGCACCCAGCCTTCCAATCACCTTCGGGACGCAGGGGTAAGTGTGACGAGAAGTAGTGCTTTAAGTGGATCACAGGGGGATTTCGACATTCGATACGGGTGCATGTGCATGTGCACGGATTCCGTTGCTTGCCTTACTGGTAACTCTCTCGTTTACTCTCATCAACTCCGTCTCGTCTGCTTCTCACCCCTCCGCCGATCCTCCAGCTCCCCCTTCTCGCCTGGACGAGTCGTTTGTGGTGCTCCCCGGTTCTGCGGCTTCAGTCTACGGCGCTCCTGCCCTCCCCCATGCCCCCACCTCCTCCTCCCATTCTCCTGCCTTCACCAGCGCTCCCACAGCCGCTTATGTCCGCCCCTCGTCCCAGACCCACCCCTTCCCCCTGCCGCCCACCATCACCGCCAGTGCTGCTAGTGCATCAGCAGTTGCCATCCCTCCCGCCTCACCCATTGCTGCTGCTGCTGCCGCTGCTGCTCCCTCCCAAGGACTGGTTGCAGCAGCAGTAGCGGTGACAGCAGCAGCTGCTGCTGCTGCGTCTGCGTCTGCGGCTGCTGGTGCTGCTGCCATGGCTGCTAGTGCTGGAGATGCTGCTTCTGCTGCTGCTTTCACCACCGAACCGGGGAGGTCAGGTCCGGATACTTGGCATGAAAACCGGAGCGAAAGCAGAGCTTCGGAACAGATACAGGCTGAGACGCCAGGTGCAGCTGCTGCTGATGAGGAGAGAAGGAGAGGGGGTGCTGAAGAGGGTCTAAGGAGAGATAATGTGGAGGAGGGAGGTGCAGGGGGGGGTGGTATGATGGGAGGGGCAGGGAGAGGAGACGGTGGAGGGGACGAGCGGAGAGAAGATGAGCGTGATGGTAACCAGAGCAATAACCGGCGGCAGCAGCAGCAAGAGGAAGAAGGAAGCAGCGGAAGGCTTTCATATGGAATTGGACCTCCTGGAGGTGGGGATGGTGCTGCTGCAGAGAGGCCGTCAAGGGAACCCCTAGCCGGCGTGGGGCTGCCTGCTGGTGGTGGTGGTGGTGCGGCTGCTGCAGAAGCAGCAGCAAATGGGCCGTCCAGGGAGTCCCAAGCAGGCGTGGGACTGCCTGCTGCTGCTGCTGCTGCTGCTGGTGCAGAGAGTCCGTCGAGATACCCCCAGGCAGGTGTCGGGCTGCACGCGCAGATAGAGGCTTTGGACCGCGTGTTCGACCTGGTGGCGCTCAAGACCAAGGTGGAGATGCCCCTCTGCTGCCACTGCGCCTCGCACGTGTGCCGCGAGATCGACGCCCAGGTGAGGTGGCGTGCCGTGGCGTGAGGGGGCGTGACGGGGCGTGGGGCTAAGAAGGGCAGTGAGGGTCGCAATTTGTAGAGGTTTGTACTTTCTGAGTGGATTCACGAGGGATCTGGTGGCGCTCAAAGCCCAGGCGGAGATGCCCCTCTGCTGCCGCTGCGCCTTGCATGTGTGCCGCAAGATTGACTGGCAGGTGAGGTGGGGGGTATAATATTCACGGTTGAGGGGGTAAATTTGCACCGGTTAGTTTCGAGTCATTTCAAGAACGGCCGGCTGGCATTCATGTGCCCCTCTGCTGCGACTGCACCCCGCACATGGGCAAAACCGGGTAATTACCCGACCCGACCCGGTTTTGCCCTACCCGCGTTCGGATCCGGGTTGGGTCGGGTCGGGTAATTTCCGGGTAATATCTGGAGGCCTATTACCCGACCCGGTTATTTAATACCGGGTAACTGGGTACCCTTGAGGCGGGTCGGGGATACCCGACCCGCTTTTAATTAAAGTCGGGTATTATTACCAGGGTACCCCTACATGGCTGTAAAAATCAGGAGTAAATGCTACTTTATGGCAGAACCAGTGGAGAATGCATCTCAAAATCCACTGACCGCGGTCTTGTTTTAGGGCAACGATGCAACTCTTTTGGGTTGGTTTGCTGGGGCAATGGGGCTGAGTTATTATTAACCCTGAGCAGTGCAATACTGCGACCAACCTGTGAGCCTCTGACACAGGGTACAAATACTTCAGCTGTTGGTAAAGGTTGTTTCACGGCTGATCAGAGTTTATTTTGGTTGGCTAACGCATCTAAAATGGTTGACATGATCCTAGTATTAAATATACCCCATTGCTGCGATCATTGCCTCCAATACTAACTACGGTAGCGTCACACAACTCGCTCCCTCCTATACCCTTCAAATGCATGCTAGACCAGAATTGCCCTTACGAGGCGCATCTTAGGCTAGGCTAAGATAGAACACAGCTAAGAAGGGGAAAATAAAAGGGGAGATATTACCCTCTGGTCGAAATTTCCCAACCAGCGCGTCAAATCTGGCGCTGGTTTCTGTTGGGTAATTGCGCGACCCGGAATCAGGTCGGGTACCCGCGACCCGACGAGTAACAAATTACCCGACCATTTGAGTAATTATCGAATATCGGGTATGCATTATCGGGTAATTCGCAGGAATCCTATTACCCGACCCGGCCTAAAAGTTGGGTCGGGTCGGGTACCCGCGACCCTATCGGGTAAAATGCCCATGTTTAGCTCGGTGCATGTATGCGCTCGGCGCATGTATGCCCTCACCTCTCCCCCACACATGCACTACCCACGCGTCCATGCAGGTGACGGAAGCAGAGGAGGAGATAGCAGCCTACGAAGCAGCGCTGCAGTCCATTCTCGCCTCCACCCCTTCCTCCTCCTCAACCCCGTACTACTCCTTACCAGTCACCCATGTCGACACTCCTTTTCCCCCAACTGCCATGGCTCCCATGGCTCCCATGGGGGACAATAACTTCGAGCAGCACATGGCCGAAGTAAGAATGGAACTCCCGGTTGTTAGAATGAAGCAGCACTTCTCCCCATGCTCTCATCACCGGTTGCTCCATTGACCATCCATCTCCCATCACACGTTCCGTGCCCATACCCCATACCACATTTGAAAACCGACCTCACATGCTCTTTTTCACTGCACGCCACACCATGCTTGTGGCTAACCATTTATGCCACCATCCCATCCCGTACTAACAGGTGGAAGTGGAGGAGCGAAGACTGCAGCAGGAGCAGCAGCAGCTGCTGCAGCAGAGGGAGCAGCTGAGGGCGCAACTGGGGGAGGTGGAAGCAGAGCAGGCGGAGCTAGACGCTGCTGAGGAGAGGTATGTGCAGCGAGAAGTGGCCAAGGGAGGCGGGATGAGGGGGCAGGAGGAAACGGGGTGGGGGAAAGAGCAAGCAGCTTAGGGCGCAACTGGGGGAGGTGGAAGCGGAGCTGCTGGGGCTAGATGCTGCTGAAGAGAGATGCGATCTAGAAAAGAGGGGGAGTGGGGGAGGAGCGAGGGAATGATTGTTGTAGAGGAGATGGGGTTAGAGACGTGGGGAAGAGGAAGGTAGGTGGGGAAGGGGAGCAGTTCCGTGTGTCATGTGGCACATTCATGTCTCTCAGGCTGACTCACACCACCCCACTCAAGTGTTTTGCCTCCGGTTCTCCCCTCGTTTCCTCCTCCTCCCCCCAATGGCAGCTACTGGCACGAGTTCAACGAGTTCCAATACCACGTGTCTGTGCACCAGGTGAGGCACGCCAGGTGAAGGCACGCCAGGTGAGGCACGCCAGGTGAAGGCATGCCAGCCCCTTGGCACTATTTGACCTTTTTGGTGATCACACAGCTGTCCGTTTCATGTGTAGTTTTGCGCCTGGTTCTCACTCTTCTTACCAGCACTAGAAGCGTTTTGTATAGCCCTTCTCCCCCACCTCTTTCCCTTGCCCCTCCCTCCCACTTCTTTCCCCCCCTCCTCTCCTCCCTGTGATTTTCAAGAAAAGTGTCCAGAGTGGAGGTGCTGAGGCACGGCTTTGTGCTCAAGGGTGCGTTCCGCATGTGTTGCTTTGTGCTCAAGGGCGCGTTCCACATGTGTTGCTTTGTGCTCAAGGGCGCGTTCCACATGTGTTGCTTTGTGCTCAAGGGCGCGTTCCACATGTGTTGCTCCATTCCATCCGTCCCACTGCCTCCCTCCCCCCCTCCCTTGGCGCACTGCAGGAGACGCGTGATGCCCTCCTTGCGTCCATAGAAGTGGCAGCAGCGCAGTCGGAGGCTCTGAGGCGCAGCTTTGTGCTCAACGACGCGTTCCACATCTGGCACGAGGGGGAGTTCGGCACCATCAACAACCTGCGATTAGGAAGGCTACCATCCGTACCGGTGAGTGCGATGGGAGTGCTCTGGATACTGTTCTCCATGCGTGTTACTGCGTGTTTGAGTTGACTCGAAGGTAACGACGCGTTCCACATCTGGCACGAGGGGGAGTTTGGCACCATCAACAACCTGCGCGTGGGGAGACTGCCATCCGTGCCTGTGAGTTGCTCTGGAAGGTGTTGATGTGAAACAGCAGGGAGGACGTGGGCTCACTGACGCAGCTGCCTGGGAACACAACCATCTGTCCTGTGTTGTGCATGCATGTCCCTCTCCTTTACACTCTTGATCTCCGTCCCTCACTCCACTCCTTTCTCCATCCACATCGCCCTCCCCTCTCACTGCCAGGTAAAGCAAGAGGAACTCAATTCGGCATGGGGCCAAGCCTGCCAGCTGCTCCTCACTCCTTCCCCCTCCTTCCTTCCTCCATACCTCCAACCCTTTCTCCTCCCTTCTATCCGCCCCTCCCTTCAACTGTTTTCCACCCTTCTATCCCTCCCCCCCCTCTCTTTCTCAGGTGGAGTGGGAGGAGCTCAACGCTGCATGGGGCCAGGCCTGCCATCTGCTCTTCACTCTCGCACGCATCGCCAACTGCCCTGTCGCGTAATACATGCATCACCATGCACGTGCATCACATTCATTCCTTTTTTTGCGTTTTCTTGTATTACCTTGTTCCCCTGTGTGCTTGTTGTTGCATTGCAATCATTCCTTGCTGCTTCCTCATGTGTCTCCCTTGTACTGCAGTTATAGCCCATCTGTTTCCTTGCATCACCTTGATCATCCACATAACCCCTGTCTACATCTCGTCTCCTCCTATCTCTCGCATCACTGCAGCCATCGGATCATCCCTATGGGCAGCTTTCCTCGAATATCTGACGGCCACAACCAGTTTGAGCTGTGCGTGCCAAATGCTGAGCTATGGGTGCATTGTATGGCACCATGATATTGCCATCTACACATTATACCAAGCCACACTGATGCTGCATCATGCCACACGCACTGAACACCCTTCTTCCCACCTCCTGCACCCACTTCTTCACTAGCATTGGCCCAGTGAAGCACATGTTGCAAAGCACGTGCTACGACCGAGCTGTGCTGCTCTTCCTGCAGTGACATGTTCCTAGGCGACTCAAAATGCCTTTCTTTCAAACATACCCCTTGCACCCGCTTCCTTGCCAGCTTTGGCCCAGTGAATCTGTTTTGGAGCACGCGCTACGACCGCGCCATGCTGCTCTTCCTGCAGTGCCTCAAGGAGTTTGCAGACTTTGCCAACGCCCATGACCGTGCCAACCACCTCCCGCCCGAAAAGTCCTTCCAACTGCCCTACAAGTGAGCGCTCTGCAGTTGAGCCTTTATGCATGTATGGGTGTTTGTTCACCCACTGTCTGGTGTAAACTTGTAGGTGCAACGCCAAGTACCCACTCAGGTGCTTGTTGACTCTATACTCTTATTGGCATCTCCTGTTGATGCACCATCTTTGGTCCCGTCACCTTGTCACAGGATCGAGGGTGACAAGATCCAAGGGCTGACAGTGAAGCAGAGCTTCAACCGCGATGAGCGGTGGACCAAGGCGCTCAAGTACCTGCTGTGTGACCTCAAGTGGGCGCTCGTGTGGACCATGAACAACTTCCACCCGCCCCTCCCCACCCCGCCCCCTGCCATCATCAACCTGGCTTCGCAAATAGAGCCTCTCAGCCTTGCCTTTGCTGGAACGAGAGCCATGTGAGACAACACTATGTATGTGCAACTTTGGGCACATGGTAAGTGAACATTTGGAAGTTGGTTGGACAAAACTGTACATAAATGTAGCTTGTTACGATAGTGGTTTTTTACAGCAGTTTCATATTATGGACCTCAAATTTCCTCCAACGGAAATGTACTATCGATTATTTCAGTGACAAACGACGAAGACATTCCGGGCCAATTCAAGTAATACCTCGTGATTATGATACGTTGGAGACAAGTACTGCACAAGTATAGATAGTGATTGTAGTGAAGTGGTTCTTCGAGTTCCAACGTTGATCCCCAACCTCGAGGCCTTATTGGTAGGGCCGACTACACGTCATCCTTCTGGGACTCTGGGGACCACAGCAGTATGCTCGTCCGTTAGATTGCTTGGAGGATTACGAGATGTATACCACGTGCCCATTAGGCAATTGTTGTTGTCAGGTTCATGGGCGCGCGAACATTCAAAAATACGGTTGCGAAAGTCATACAGTGCGAGTACGCCGTTGTAATTCGCTGACGAAGTGATTGAATCTTCGCCTAGTCAGGTGCAAGTTCTTGCGCCTGACAGAAACCCTTCCGCATTCGCCCCTTCCCGCTGCGCCCAAAAACGAAGAGCAGCACGCTGCGCAAGGGCATCCCGCGCTGCGACCGTCCCAAAACAGCCGCAGCTCCATCCTTCGCGCGCCTGTCCCTGTAACTTCGCGAGTCAGTTCGCTTCCCTAATCCTGCAACTCACATGAGCTCGCGAAGAATGCAATCTTCGCCTGCCTCCAGTCGTCAATCGCAATGTCCCCAATACCTGACCTGCTCGCGAAACTTTGCGCCGTCGTGCGCGGGAAGAGAGCAGCGGAAGCCTCAGTTTCGGCTTCCTCCTCACTTGTCCTCACTTCAGCAGCATGGAGGGCAGATTCCCACAGCATTCCCAAGGTGCTTGCTTCGCCTTCATTTGCCTCTTACAGATCCTCCCTAAAGAATTCGTCTCAGAAATAGAGTAGCTCAACCTTACTATGGTTGATTCAGCTCGTCATGGCTGCCTCATCTCGCCATGGTTGCGGTGAAAAATCTCTAGCGAATTAGGCTTTTCGCAGATTACGCTACCTAGGACTTGCGTTCCATCGAATAAATACTTCATCAGGATTTCTATTCCCAGCTGCTCTTCAGTACTCCCAGCTGACGTGATTCAGCCGCTCGTTTCCCGTTTTCTTAGCTTGTATTCAATAGCTAGTGGCTTATACCCAGATATTAGGATAAATTTTAAAGTCTAACGCTGGATTTTCTTTACCGGCTCAGTATTGGGTAGTGTTCGTTCGCTCCTTTAGGTCTGCTAGCCAGTCAGCCAGCCAGCCGGCCAGCCAGCCAGCCAGACAGCCAGCCAGCCAGTCGGTCAGAATACCTATAATATATAGCAGCGGAAGCCGCATCGGTGGACTTCTACTAACCGGACTATCCCGATTATCAGCATTGGAAGAAAAGCGACCTTAGCTCCTGTAGTAGTAGCTTCGTCCGGCAGCAGCAGCAACAGCCCAGCAGCAGCAGCAGCGGTATACCAGGAGTCAGCAGCGGCGCAATCGGCGACGGTTGCGCGTGTCTATTAGCTGTCTGGGAACTCTTCCTCGCAGCAGCGTTAAGGACAGTAGTAGTCGTACTAGCGTGACACGGACTTTTGGTAGCACGCGGACTCTGCTACGATCAACGATTGGACGACGAAGGAAGCACGATCATCTCCGCTCTCTAAGTTCAGTTCGTTTCCTCGCAATCCATGTCGTCCGCTCAGTAACTGTGTTTGACGCTTAATCGCGATCAGAGTCTTAACGTCACGCTAATCTTCATTTCTAATCTAGTCGAGCAGAGCATCTCTATAGTAGGCATCTGGAGCTTCTAGAGCAGCGCTATTCTACTCATTCGAAGCAGTTCATTGGTAGACTCTCGGAATCCATAAGGCGGCTATCCTCGCAATCCATGGCTGTCGCCACCTGCTGTTCTATCATCGACCAATGACCATCTTACGCTTTACCACAATCTCGATTTCCGCTCTAGTACCTCATAAGGACTCTGTTCTAGTACCTCTGGTGACCGTCGACCGTCGCAGTACTTCTGCCGCTGTGCCTCGTCTTACTATGCATTTTCACCGCTGCCTCGTCTTATAGAGGTGGTTCGCCACCTGACGGTTCGTCGAGGTTCGCCACCGTGGCGAAGAGCAGCGGTCACCGCTGACGCCGACAGCCACGAAGACTCCTGACGGAAATTTCGCGACGGCGTATTTTAACGGTGACAAACGACGCCTTTTTCTAACGGCGACAATCCCGACGCCGCTTCCTCACGGTTGCGTTCGCGACGGCGCTGCTGGTCAGATTGGTCTCTGGCAACGCCTGTTCCAGGCGCTGAAGACAGCGCCAATTTTTTCTGAAACTGACAGCCACGAAAACTTCGTATTTTTACGGCGACGATCGCGACGGCGTTTTCGACAGTGATGACCGCGATAGCGTTTCTTGACGATGACGATCGCGACAACGTTTTCTGACGGTGACGCGCGACAACGTTTCCTGACGGTGACGATCGAGGCGACGTTTGCTGACGGTCGCGACGGCGTTTTCTGGCGGTGGCAATCGCAACAGCGGTTTCCGGTGACGACCGAGGTGGCGTTTCCGATGGCGACGATCCTGCTGACGGCGTCGAATGAGACGGCGTTTTCTGAGGCTTTCGATCGCGATGGCCTTTTCTGACTGTGACGTAGCCACGGCGTTTCCTGATGGTGACGATCGCGGCTCCTGCCTTGTGCGTGGAGGGCGGGCAGCGGTGCTGCGGATGGTGCCTCCAATTCTGCTGCTGGCGGTGGTGTCGGTGACGCGGCGACTGCCTTGTGCTGCTGTTACGGCTGGCAGTGGTGGTGGTTCTGCTGCTGGCGGCGGTGGTGGCGCTGCTGCTACGTCCTCTTGTTGCTTTCATCGCCTTTTTTACGTTTGATTATTGACGTCCCTATGCACTGCTGCGTGGGGCGCTGAGAGGTGGACGGGGGGTTGGAGTTGAGTGGTGAAGTGAGGGCGTGGCAGCCCATGGCGCTTGGCGGTCGCTTGGCGGTCGCTTGGCGGTCGCTTGCATGGTCTAGGCGGGTAGTTCAGCATTCATTCCCATGCGCGCGTCCCTCTCTCTCCTCTCACACCTCCTTCCTCTTTTCTCAGTCCCCCTCGCATGGCCGCCAAGAGCTGTGGGTTCGCCGACGCCTCACGCTCCCTCCCCCTTGAAGCCTTGAAAGCCTTTCCCACGCAGTGGTGCCGTGGGTCTTAGCTGCAAACTCCTTTCTTCCTCATTCTTGCTTTCCAGTTTCTGCTCTCTTTACGTTGTCATGGATAATAAACTTTTGCTCTGAATTTGTGTCGCGCCCATTCCTCTGCAGGATACCGTTTCTGCACTTGCATCGGCAATCAGCAACAGAACTTCCGCACCAGCAACGGAACCTCCTCCCCCCCCTCCCCCTCCTCCTCCTCCTCCTCCCCCTCCTCCTCCTCCTCCTCCTCCTCCTCCTCCTCCTCCTCCTCCTCCTCCTCCTCCTCCTCCTCCTCCTCCTCTTCCTCCTCCTCCTCCTCCTCCTCCTCCTCCTCCTCCTCCTCCTCCTCCTCCTCCTCCTCCTCCTCCTCCTCCTCCTCCTCCTCCTCCTCCTCCGCCACCTCTCCTCGTCTCCCTCTCCTCCTCTTGCTCCTCCTCCCCTGTCACCGTGTGCCGCGCTGCCTTGTGTGTGGAGGGAGGGCAGTGGGATGACGCACGGCAGGCAGTCACAGCGGTGTGACTGCCTCCTGCTCGCCCTGCTTACCATTGCACTTCACAATCCCACGCGTGCTGCTGCTGGAAGTGGTGCAGCCACGAGGGCAGCTGAGGGGCGGAGAGCACGCAAGGGGAGGAGGAGTGCTCTCCACCGACGCTTCCGCACCCCTCCCACTCTCCTCCTCCTCTCATCTGTCCCTCCTCCTCCTCTGGCTGCCAGTGCTCTCACCTCGGGACCCTCCCCAGGTGGTAGAGGCAAGCGCCATGATGTGAGCATGGTGGCTGCGAGGTGTGGTATGGTCCCTGGTGGGACCTGCAACTCCCAACACACCCACTCGCCCATCGGCTCCTCACTCTGCAACCCGCCAACACCGACGCTGCAAGAGTGCCAACCCAACAACAACAACCCGGCCGATACCAGGACATTCACTCCCGCTCCTTCGTCTCGTGTTTACTTCTACTCACCCGCTTAATCACTTGCTTACTGTTTTTCTTCGTGATAGTTATCGCTTCGTAGTTATTTTGTCTTTTGTCTCACTCGCTCCCTCTCCTGCTCGCTTTCACTTGCCCCTTCCCCTTCCCCCACCAATCCACCCCCCCTTCCGCCCCTCTGCCCCTCCCATGCAGCAGCCGCGAGTGGAGGCAGCAGGGAGGGCGGCAGTGGGATGACGCGCGGCATGCAGTCACGGGGCTCTGGCTGCCCTGCAACTGGAGGCAGTGCTGTATGCCACTGATTGCCCTGCGCATGCTCTGCTGACCACAGCGCTCCCTTCACGAACTGACGGTACATATCCAGCTGCCCTCATTCTGCCCGAGACGAGCTGGGAGTGGCGCTGCTGCTGCCGTTGTTGGACTCACCTTGGCTGTGCGGACATGGCTTGGCGCGACATCCGCAGGCTCGTACAACGAGCGAGGAGGTCTGACGCTGGGTCTACTTCACCACATGGCTGCATCTCATAGCTAAGTTCCCTCATCCACTCACCCTCATTCCCTCCAATCCTTCCCTTCCCTCTTTCACCCCCCCTCCCCCCTCCCCCCTCCCCGCCCACCCTCCTTCGTCGTTTTCCCCGTCGCCCTCGTTTTCTGCCACATGCCTTGACGCTGCTTGGCGCATGGCGGCGGTGGCTTATGACGCCGCAGCAGTAGAGCTCACATGGAGTACAGCGGGTTAGAAATGTATTCACGAACATGCTCGCGCCCCTCTCTTCCCCAGTCCACCCCTCGCACGCTAAGCTTGCTGCTGTGGTGCTGTGGGTCACTGCCGCCATGCGACTTCCCCCTCCCCCTCCCACGTGCTTCTCAGTTTTCGCTTTGCTCACACTTTAGTCCTCCCTGCTGTTTTCCCGGTTGCTTCGGTTCTGTTGCTCACCTGAACATGCTCGTTGCTTGCATTCACGATCTGCTCAGTTGCTTGTACCAACACCGCCCTTCACTAAGTGCCGCCTATCCCCTTCCCCTTCCCTTGTGTCAGGGCGAAGCACAGAGGCAGTCAGAGCGTAGAGCTGAGCTGCAGTTACTGAAATTCCTGCTGTGGGACGACCGCTGCTACTGGTGCACACTGCTGCCGATGCAGAGAGCTTTGTTGTTAATCACGGGCTGCCGAGGGAGGAGCCGAGGAAAGGACCTGCTGCCTATTCTGCTGTGAAGGTGACGATCGAGGCGACGTTTGCTGATGGTCGCGACGGCGTTTCTTGACGGTGACAATCGCAGCGGCGGCCTCTGATGGTGACGACCAACACACCAAGACCGCGTTTTCTGATGGTGACGGTCAAGTGTTCCGGCGTCTTGCTGCTGACGGTGGTGCCACCGCTGCTACTGCTGGCGGCGGTGGTGGCTCTGCTGATGGTTCCGCTGATTCCGGTTCCGCTGATTCTTCTGCTGGCGGTGGTGTCGCTGCTGCGTCCACCTTGTGCTGCTGTTACTGCTGGCGGTGGTGGTTGTGCTGCTGCTGCATCCGCTCCGAATACCTACCTAAACGGCTAAGTGCTCTTACCCTTCTCCTCTTGATGTTTATTATGCAAATCTATTTGATTCATTGGCTTATGGCACTGCTGCGTGGGGCGCTGAGAGGTGGACAGGGGGTTGGAGTTGAGTGGTGAAGTGAGGGCGTGGCAGCCCATGTCACTTGGCGGTCGCTTGCATGGTCTAGGCGGGTAGTTTAGCATGCATTCATTCCCATGCGCGCGTCCCTCTCTCTCCTCTCGAACCTCCTCTTTCTCCTCTCAGTCCCCCTCGCATGGCCGCCAAGTGCCCTGGGCTTGCCCGTGCCTCACGCTCCCTCCCCCTTGAAGCCTCGAAAGCTTCTAGGTTGCACTGGCTGTGTTTGTAAACCCCGTTTACGCTTCTTGCTTTCCAACTTCCGTTTTCAGTTGTCGATTGTTGGGAATATCGCCACTACTGGACACCAACACTCGGTTTGAATGAGTGCGCGCGCGATATCTCTGCAGGAAACTCTTTCGGCTGCTGCAATGGCGCTTCTGCAGCAGCAACGCCTTGGATGTCGCTCGTGGGATGCCACACGGCAGAGGCGGTCACAGTGCTGTGTTGTGTCATGACCGCCTCGTGAGTGCCCTGCTGACTACTGCAGTGGCTCCTGTTCGCGGCAGCACTGGCTCCTGTTGGTGACAACCCTGTGCTGTTGCGACTGACGGTGCTGACTACAGTGCTGCTGCTACAACCATGAGCTGATGCCTCTGCTGGTGGTGGCAACGCTGTTGCCGATCCTACCAATGCTAGCGATGGTGCTGCAGATGATGCTGCCGATGGTGCTGCCGATGGTGCTGCTGCTGACGGTGCTGCTGATGGTGCCGCCTATTCTGCTGCTGGTGGTGGCGGCGCTGCTGCGGTGACTTTGTGGTGCTGGTACTGCTGGCGGTGGTGGTGGTGTCGCTTCTGCGTGCGCTCGGGATACCTACTGAAATGGCTAAGTGCGCTTACCTTTCTCCTCTTGTTGTTTCCATCTCTTCTTTGTCTACTTGTTTTATGACGGCCCTAGGTGCTGCTGCGGGTTGGAGTTGAGTGGTGAAGTGAGGGCGTGGCAGTCCATAGCGCTTGGCGGACGCTTGCATGGTCTAGGCAGGTAGTTTAGCATGCATTCATTCCCATGTACGCGTCCCTCTCTCTCCTCTCGAACCTCCTCTTTCTCCTCTCAGTCCCCCTCGCATGGCCGTCAAGTGCCCTGTGTTCGCCCGTGCCTCACACTCCTCCCCCCTTGAAGCCTTGGAAGCCCTCCCAGTGCACTGCTGCCGTTGGGCCTTAGCCGCAAATTCGTCGCTTTTTTCGTTCTCTCATTCTTGCTCTCCAGATTCTGCTTGTTTTTTGTGAATTGTCGTGGGAAACACCTCTACCTGATCCTTATTTCCGCTCCGAACCTGTGTCGTGGCCACTCCTCTGCAGGAAACTGTTTCCGCGACGGCAGTTGAGCAGCAGCAACAGAGCTTCAGCACCAGCTACGGCACGCCCTCCTCCTCCTCCTCCTCCTCCTCCTCCTCCTCCTCCTCCTCCTCCTCCTCCTCCTCCTCCTCCTCCTCCTCCTCCTCCACCTCCTCCTCCTCCTCTTCTCCTCCTCCCCTCTCGCTGTGTGCCTGCCTGTTGCGTGGAGGGGAGAGGGTGGGATGACACAGGCGGCCACAGCGGTGTGACTCCCCCCTGCTCGCCCTGCTGACCACTGCACTCCCCCCTCGCACTGAAGACTTGCGGGTGCCACTGCTGGGAGTGCGGCTGGAGGGAGTTCGGCTGGAGGGAGTGTGGTTGGAGGGAGTGCGGCTGGAGGGAGTGCGGTTGGAGGGAGTGATGCGGCTGGGAGCACGTGGTGCAGCCACGAGTGCAGCTGAGGGGCGGAGAGCACCCACGGCGAGGAGGAGCGCGCTGCACACACGCCTTCACACCCGTCCTGCTTCCCTCCTCCTCTCATCTGTCGCTCCTCCTCCTCTGGCTGCCAGTGCTCTCACCACAGGACCCTCCGGTGATAGAGGCAAGCGCCATGATGTGAGCATGGTGACTGGGAGGTGGACACTCACTGTAAGTTGGTATGGTCCCTGGTGAGGCCTGCAGCTCCCCACGCACCCACTCGCCCCGTCCGCTCCTGCAACACTCCAACAGCGGCAATGCAAGACCGACTATTGAAGACTGACAATCTGGCAACAACCAGGGGGAATATTTGTACATTGCGCATATTCCTTCGTCAATCGCTTTTGTTTGTCCTTGCTTTCAATCTCATTCGCTTCAGAACTCACTCCCCCTCCCTCTCTCTTTCACCTGCCCCTTCCCCTCTCCCCACCTGCCTTCCCTCCCTCTGCCCCTCTCCCCACAGTTCATTTTGGGGTGATGGGCGCGTGGCGATGGTAGCGCATGGCACTGGGGCGGAAGGGCTCATACTAGAGTTGTAGGGGGTTAGAAACGCATTCATCCTCATGCCCGCGTCCCTCTCTTACCTAGTCCGCCTCGCGTGCTAGCTCCATGCCCTGGTGCTGTGGGCTACCATCGCCCTTTCTCTTTAGTTGGAATTTGCACCGTGTTTCACAAGATGCATTCTCGTTATCGGTTTTGCTTCTTGCAAATAGGACCATTTCTTTGAATCATTCACTGTTCATGCATGTATCTTTTGCTTGTTGTAGCACGTTTCTTTGGCTTGGCATGCCTTGATCTAACTTTCTGCATCTCCCTCCCCAAGTGCTCTTCTCCCCGCACCATTCCCTTGCACCATTCCCAAGGGGGTGTGCACTGCAGAGCCAGAGTGGGAGGGCAGTGGGATGACGCACGGTAGGCAGTCACAGCGGTGTGACTGCCCCCTGCGTGCCCTGCTGACCACTGCACTCCCCCTCGCGCCGAAGGCTTGCGGGTTCTGCTGCTGGGAGTACTGCTGGAGGGAGTGCGGTTGGGGGGAGTGCGACTGCAGGGAGTGCGGTTGGAGGGAGTGCGGTTGTTGGGAGGGGAGCAGCATGGGAGCACGTGGTGCAACCACGAGTGCAGCTGAGGGGCGGAGAAGGAGCGCCCTGCACCGACCCTTCCACACCCTCTCGCTCTCCTCCTCCCTTCACCTCTCCCTCCTCCTCCTCTTGCTGCCAGTGCTCTCACCACGGGACCCTCCCCAGGTGATAGAGGCAAGCGCCATGATGTGAGCATGGTGGCTGCGAGGTGTGGTATGGTCCCTGGTGGGACCTGCAGCTCCCAACACACCCACTCGCCCAAGCGCTCCTCACACTGCAACTCGCTCCTCTCCCTGGTGGTCTCTTTGCATCGCTTGCCTCGCTTGCCGTGGCGATCCTCAATATGTCCTTGTGTTAGGTACGTGGTGGGGAACACGCGTGGCAGTCTTGCCGTGGTTATCCTCTCACTCCAAGCCCGCCTGTCCACCTTCGCACCCACAGACAGCACAGACGGCACAGATAGCATGGACAGCACAGCACAGCACAGCACAGCACAGCACAGCACAGACTCGGACAGCCACATCGGCAGCATCCACACCCCCATTATCCACACCACTTTCTAATCACAGGGCCGCACCTAACCACAGGTACTGTAGCACTCTCTAATCACAGGGCCGCGCCTAACCACAGGTACTCTAGCACTCTCTAATCACAGGGCCGCGCCTAACCACAGGTACTCTAGCACTCTCTTATCACAGGGCCGCGCCTAACCACAGGTACTCTAGCACTCTCTAATTACAGGGCCGCGCCTAACCACAGGTACTCTAGCACTCTCTAATCACAGGGCCGCGCCTAACCACAGGTACTCTAGCACTCTCTAATCACAGGGCCGCGCCTAACCACAGGTACTCTAGCACTCTCTAATCACAGGGCCGCGCCTAACCACAGGTACTCTAGCACTCTCTAATCACAGGGCTGCGCCTAACCACAGGTACTCTAGCACTCTCTAATCACAGGGCCGCGCCTAACCACAGGTACTCTAGCACTCTCTAATTACAGGGCCGTGCCTAACCACAGGTTCTCTAGCCAAGCTTCAAGAATGATTGCATAATGGAAGAACTCATGGAAAAGGGAATTTTCTGTTGGAGCAATGGAGTGAGCAACAGCAATGGGTTGAAAGAATTTCCTGTTGTAACTCTTGATTCTTAGTAGCAGTGCTGGTGGCGGTGGTGGCTTTTAGTGCTTGGAGCTTCTTCTGTAGGTTTGACCTCAGGTACCCAGAGCGGTCAGAGCAGAAGAGGAGGCGCCGACACTGCAAACCTGGTAAGACTGGTATGCACCTCACCCATTCCCTCCCCTTCTCCTCGACCTTTTTGCTATTCCTGTCCTTTCTTTTCCTTTCACTTTTGCTCGTCTGCTTGTTCGCTTTCACAACGCTCCAAGGCACTCCCTTGTAGCGTCTGGAGACGTCTCGTCGTCCCTTTTGCTCTTCCTGCCATCTCCGTTTTCTTCTGCTCGGCGTTGCTTTTCTCTCCTCTGGCTCTTCCCGTTGACATCCTCCCTGCTTGGCTCTTGTCCCCCCCTCAGGCATCGGCAGCACTCGTGGGAAGCAGGAACTGCTGTAGCAGGGATGGGCGGGCGGGAGAAGCAAGAAGGGGGCGCGATTCTCTTCAGGTGAGGACGAAGCTCCGCCTCCCTTCCATTAACCCCGCTCTCCTCAGTCCACAGTTCTGCTCTTCTCTCTGTTCTCTCCTGTCAATCCCTCACACCCAGAACACTCCCCCTCCTTTTTCTACCTTCCTCCCTTTCCAGGCATCAGCAGCAGTGGCGGGAGTTGCAGAAAGGAGGGGGCAGTACTGGCAGGCGCTGTTGCTATGGGCACAAGGTGTGTTGGCTCTGCCTTGGCATACTGTCTTCATGTCATAATTTTCAATCATATTCAATCATTCTTGCAATCCCTGAGCCACTACCCCCCGTGCCACTACCCCTCATGCCACTACTCACGTGCCACTACCCCCCGTGCCACTACCCCGCGTGCCTCTACCCGCCGTGCCACTACCCGCCTTGCCACTACCCGCCGTGCCACTACCCCCTTGGCACTAACCCCCGTGCAACCACCCCCCGTGCCACTACCCCTCGTGCCACTACCCTTCGTGCCACTACCCCTCGTGCCACTACCCCCCGTGCCACTACCCTCCGTGCCACTACCCTCGTGCCACTACCCCCCGTGCCACTACCCCCATGCCACCACCCCCGTGCCACTATCCCCCGTGTCACTACCCCCCGTGCCACTACCCCCGTGCCACTACCCCGGTGCCTCTACCCGCCATGCCACTACCCGCCGTGCCACTATCCCCCGTGCCACTACCCCTCGTGCCTACCCCCCATGCCACTACCCCCCATGCCACTACCCCACGTACCACTACCCGCCGTGCCACTCCACCACGTGCCACTACCGCCCGTGCCATTACCCCCCGTGCCACTACCCAGTCCCACTACCCACGTGCCACTACCCCCCATGTCACTACCCCCGTGCCTACCCCCCGTGCCACTACCTGCCCTACCACTACCCACGTGCCACTACCCTCCGTGCCACACCCCCCGTGCCAGTATCGCTATCCCCTCTTTCCCTATCCCCTCTTTCCCTATCCCCTCTTTCCCTATCCCTTCTATCCCTATCCCTTCTGTCCCTATCCCTTTTACCCCTATCCCTTCGCTATCCCATCTATCCCTATCTCTTCTATCCCTATCGCCTCTCCCCCTAACCCCTCTATCCCTATCTCTTCTATCCCTATCGCCTCTCGCACTAATCCCTCTATCCCTATCGCCTCTCCCCCTAACCCCTCTATCCCTATCGCCTCTCCCCCTAACCCCTCTATCCCTATCTCTTCTATCCCTATCGCCTCTCGCACTAATCCCTCTATCCCTATCGCCTCTCCCCCTAACCCTCTATCCCTAACTCTTCTGTCCCTATTCATCTATCCCTTTCCCCTCTATCCGTCTCCTCTTTCCTTATTCCCACTATTCCCATCCCCTCTGTCCTTTAAGCTGCAGCAGCAGCGTTACAGCATTCTGGCAGGTGAGGCGTTGTGGGTGGGTGGGGTTCCATTCGGGTAGAAGCCTTCTGATGGCAGCTTTGAATCGCTTTGCTCATTGTGTTTTTGCATCCCTGTTGATTTGAGTCGACTCAAAAGTCACCTCTTTTTGCATCCCTGTTGATTCCCTGTCTGGAGACCCCTCCTGAAGCTGCAGTATCTGCTGTCCCCCCTGTTTGGTCCTGCTGTGTATTGGTGGGTCGTTCCATTGTGGTGAGATGGTGCCTTACAGAGTGCCTCATTAAAGCCCCAAGCTAAAATAGCAAGCCCCATTCAAGTTGGACCCAGCTTGAACAAGAAAATGGGCTTGGTTTGAACAAGAGTTGGGGTTTTTTTGTGGGGGCAGCTGGCTATGTTTGAAATAGATTCGGAAGCAGTTTGTGCATGGAAACTATCGAATTGGGGGTGGACTTACTGTTCACTTGCTCGTGTGACGACGATCTTGTTGAGTGACCCGCTGGGATTACCCTTGAGAAGATCCTCTGGGAAGGGCCACAGGTGCAGTGCCTGGGGAGCTATGGGCGCACTGACCCGCTAATAATAAGCCCTTTTAACTCAGTGGTTAGTGGCTGAGTTTTGACATGGTATCAGAGCGTTGGTGACTCGGGTTCAATTCCCAGTGCTAGCGCTGCAGAGGCGCTCGTGTCTTCCACCTATCCCACCGAGGGGGGGTATCGAGTGACCCGCTGGGAATAACCTTGAGAAGATCCTCGGGGAAGGGCCACAGGTGCAGAGCCTGGGGAGCTATGGGCGCACTGACCCACTATTAATAAGCAATTTTAACTCAGTGATTAGTGGCTGAGTTTCTGACAGATCTTGCCTGTCGTACAGCTGGCAAAGTGTCGCACTGATTCTGATCCCCCCATGACACCCGAGAAGCAAACCCGGTCCCAACTTGAAAACCGAGTTGGGTTCCAGGGGAGAAAATCGCACATGCGATTCCTTCTGACACTCGAGTCGCTCAAGTCGCGAGCGCGTCAGAAGGGCTGTACCGTACATTTCGCCAGGCTTTTTTGTTGCACCAGCCAATCATTATCTAGCTGTTCATTTCAGACTCCTTTCCTTTCCATCCGAAATTCACAACAGTAATTCTAGTCAGTCATCCTATATGGAAATTCTAAGGCAAATGTTCAAGTTGGGCCCACCTTTGCTATTATAGCACAGGTCTTGAAGTATCGTTCTTCGATTTGTTGATCGTTTAACCACCCCAATTAGCTTGTCCCACTTGACTATTCGTCACAGGCTTGTCACTTTCAGACTGCTCCTCATTGGCAGTCAAATCGCCCTCTCCGCTTCCCACATACACATCCAGGATTGGGGAATTTAGCTCGCCCTCTGGCTAGAGGCTCCAGCCTAATCTGCAGCAGCAGGAGCAGGAGCAGCAACAGCAGCAGTAGCAGCAGCTGCAATCCACAGGCATTCGCCTTTGCGATGATCAGCAGTACTGCCAAGACTGCGGGGGCGATCTAATGCTGACACTGTTGGGGGAGTATGTGATGCTGACACTGCCAGTACTATCAAATACGCACATTACAGTCTATCTATGATACTGCCAGGACGTCTCAGGAGTCCTTATCAGACATTGGTAGGACTATTTCATGCTGACATCACTAGATATACCGTATCCCAGCACATCACCTTCCAGGTCTATCAAATATCTCCGTGCCTCCCTCGGCTACCCCTCTCTATCTCTACCCCATGTAGTGGCTAAACCTGTCAAACATGTGTACCTCTTATACTTTGCATAGACTGTATAGGGTAATCTCTTAGAAGGTACAACACTTAGATATATTCCTGTACTCTCTCTCTCTCTCTAATCATTCTTTTCAGTTTCTAAGATGGTATCAGCAGTAGGTAGGTCCCGCTCACCCACGCTTCCGCTCTAGGACCTCCCCGCCCTAGTCGCGCCTGCCCTAGCCGCGCCCGCCCTAGTCGCGCCCTGCGCGCCACCTCCCCTCGGCCCTAGCGCCCGTCCTAGCCGGCCTAGCGCCCAGCCCTAGCGGCCCCTCGTGCCCGTCCTAGCGCCCTCCCTAGCGCCCGCCCTAGCGGCCCCTCGTGCCCGTCCTAGCGCCCGCCCTAGCAGCCCCTCGTGCCCGCCCTAGCGCACGCCCTAGTGGCCTCCCCGCGCTCGCCCTAGCGGCCCCTCGTGCCCGCCCTCGCGGCCCCACGCCCGTGCCCGCCCTAGCGCCCCCTTCGCCCGTGCCCACCCTAGCGCCCATCCTAGCCGGCCCCTCGTGCCCGCCCTAGCGCCCCGCCCTAGCGGCCCCTCGTGCCCGCCCTAGCGCCCGCCCTAGCGGCCTCCCCGCGCTCGCCCTAGCGGCCCCTCGTGCCCGCCCTAGCAGCCTCCCCGCGCTCGCCCTCGCGGCCCCTCGCGCCCGCCCTAGCGGCCCCCGCGCTTGCCCTAGCGGCTCCCGCGCTACCGCTCGGCCCCTGCGCCCGTCCCAGCCGGCCCGCGCCCGTCCCGGCCGACCCGCGCCCGTCCCAGCCGGCCCCGCCGCCCGTCCCAGCCGCCCGTCCCAGCCGACCCGCGCCCGTCCCCGCCGGCCCCGTGCCCGTCCCGGCCGACCCCGCGCCCGTCCCAGCTGGCCCCGTGCCCGAGCCGGCCGACCCGCGCCCGTCCCCGCCGGCCCCGTGCCCGTCCCGACCGGCCCCGTGCCCGTCCCCGCCGGCCCCGCGCCCGTCCCAGCCGACCCGCGCCCGTCCCCGCAGGCCCCGCGCCCGTCCCAGCCGACCGGCGCCCATCCCAGCCGGCCGCGCCCGTTCCAAAAGGCCCGCGCCCGTCCCAGCCGGCCCCGCGCTCGTCCCCGCCGGCCCCGCACCCGTCCCGGCCTGCCCCGCACCTGTCCCAACTGGCCCCCGCGCCCGTCCTGCTCCGAGCTGTGTGCGGCCAGCTCGTCGTGCCTGCTCCGGCCTTGCACCCTCCCTGGTACAGTTTTCCATCACCTGTACCGCACTATACTGTACTGCATCGCTCTGCACCGCCCTGCACCGCACTGCAATGCACGGTACCGCACTGCACCGCACGGTACCGCACTGTACCGCCCTGCACCGCCCTGCACCGCCCTTCACCGCACTGCACTGCCTTGTATCGCACAACAGTCCTGCACTGCTCCTGATGGCGGCGGAGCTTCGCTTCGACGCAGAAGGCCAGCCTCTGGAGTTCGAGGCGTGGCTCGCTGACCTCCGTCGCCACCTCACTGGCCAGCGGCAGGATGGCCACCCGCTTTCTGCACACCTTGACGGTATGCTCCCCTGCCCTTACCCCCCTGCTGTGCTGCCCGCTGACCCCACACCCGCTGAGCGCGAGTCTGCTGCAGCCGCTGCCCTTGCGCGCTCTGTCTGGCTTTCCCGAGACGCTGTCGCCCAGCTTGCCATTAGCAATGCCCTTCCCCCGTCTGAGCGCCCTCGCTTTAGGTCCCTCACTACCGCCCAGGCTTACTTAGATGCTGTCCTCCAGCGCTATTCCACCCCTCCTGCTGCCTCTGTGGGTCGCCTGATCCTCCCGCTGCTCTTTCTTGATCTTGCGTCCTTCCCTACTGTCGCTGACTTGGCTGCCCACCTGCGCACGATAGATGAGACCTGGCGCGCAGCCTGCACTGACGCACAGCTTAGAGCCCACCAGCCGCCCATTACCTCTACCCTCTACCTGCTCGCCACCAGCCTCCCTGACCGCCTTGCCGCCGCCCGCGACCGCTTCCTTAGTATCCACCCCGATGAGCTCACCCTCACTGACTTTGTAGACACCCTGACTGTTATAGAGACCCGCCACCGCTCCATCGTCCAGGCGAGCGGTACCGTGTCGGTCCCTATCTTTCAGGGTTGTGCCCCCACTCAGTGTACCTTCTCCGACGGTTCTGCCGCTGTGGCTGAGACTGCTGCTGCCGTGCAGTTCCGTCCGGGGAAGGGCCGCCTCCCCAAGGCTGGGCGCGGCGGCGGAGGAGGGGGTGCAGGTGGGGGTGGTGGTGGAGTCGGGTCTTCTGGTGCTGGAGCGGACGAGGGGACCCTGCCCGGTCCAGCTGAGCCGCCGCCTCCACAGTCGCAGCAGCAGCCGCAGCAGCCACCGCAGACGAGGCAGGCGAGTGTCCTCCCGCCCGGGTGAGTGGCCTGGAGCTGGAGGTGGTCGTGCGCGTGGTGGTGTACCGGGTGGTGGTTCGGGAGGCGTTCGTTGCCAGTACCAGATCCAGACCGGTCCTCACCGCGGCTTCGTTTGCGGTAACCCGGTCATACCACTCCTCGCTGCTTTCGTCGCCTGGACGACTTGTTTCGTCAGCGCTTCGGCCCGTCACCAGACCTCCCGGACTGGCACAGCTTGCTTCGTCGTAGTATTCCGATTTTTGACTTGGACATGGATGCTATTGTTTCTGCTCTGCATGTGATGTATGCTGATGACTCTAGTGTGCTTCCCGCTTATTACTCATTGTCGTCTAGTGTAGGTAGGCCTAGCTTAGCCTTCCTTGCTGCGTCAGGCGTAGACGACCCTGCTTTGTTTAGCCTTGGTGCCTCCGCTGTCGCCAAGTCGCCGGACGCCACTGCTTCGCTTTCTTTCACCTTGGACTCTGGCGCTTCCCGGTGCTTCTTCCGCGACTTCACTACACTGACACCGCTTCCTGTTCCTGCCGCTATTTCTCTTGCTGACCCCTCCGGCGGTCCGGTAGTCGCCCGCAGTTCCACCACCCTTCCCTGTCCGGCAGTTCCTTTGGGCTCTCTCACAGGTCTGCATATCCTCTCGTTCTCCAGGAACCTAGTTGGTGTCGGCTGCCTCCAGGACCTTGGCGTCACCACTACGTTCCCTGGTCATGAGCGGTATGCTGTCCGTACCGAGGCTGCCACAGGTGCCCCTTTGTCCACGTTCCCCCGGGACCCGGTGTCCGGCCATTTCACCCTGGACACCGTGACCCCCCCGGCTGGGGCGCCCCTCCAGGTGGCTGCGTCTTCCCAGGTTGCTGCTGCCTGCTCCTTTCGGTCTCTCACTCATCCGACTCTCCTTTGGCACCATCGTCTAGGTCACCCTGCGCTCCCGCGTCTGCGTCACATGTCCCAGCACGGTCTCGTCCTTGGTCTCCCTGGTTCCCTCCCCCCCTTTCCCTCCTCCCCCATCCTGCCTGTGTCTGCCCTTCGCCTACTCGGCCTTCCGTCCCCTGACCCTGCATCCGTTCCTCTCCTTCCGTCTCCTCCTCTCCCCGTGTACGGCCCTGTGTTCCCTCCGCCGGACTCGTCCCTGGCTCGTCTTCCCCCTCGCTCTCCCCTTGTGACCCCTCCTCTGTCTCCCGACCAGACTCCTGCATCTCATGTCTGGTCTCACCGTCCCTCCCGTGCTCGTCCTGTCTCCCCTGTCTTGCGCTCTCACCCTAGGTTGTTTCGTTCCCACCCGGCCTCTTCCCCTTCTCCCGTCCCCTCCTCCGTCTTCCCTTGTCGTTGCTCACCCCCCTCTGTCTGACTACCTTCATGCCGCCC